TATTTCTTTTGTCTTTATCTAAGTGTAAATTGCCACGTGACATTGGATCTACATGTGGTGGCTTCCTTCACTATGGCTGGTCTATGCAGGACAGAATTGACATTCAGTCTACCCTTCTACCTCCACCGCCCTCCTGCTCTTAGGATGAAGCTGTGGGGACAAACAACACTAACAGGGAGTAATCACAGCACAGCGTTCTTCACCGATGTCATTCGGAAGATTTCTTTTAAGACTTTTGTCCCCAGTTTATATGCATAAAAACTCTGTACACCTTTCTCTAGGTATGTACCTTGAAGCACACTAATGCCAAACGTAACCACAGCACTGAGTGTCATGATTCCCGTAGGTTCTCTTTCCATGGGTTGGGAGCCGTATACATCCCTGGACTGGACGCTTTAGGGACGATAGGGCTGGGAATTGCCTGCTACTCTGTTTACTCCTCACGGATGGATGGCTAAATCTCTTACTTTGAATTTCTAAATTTGAGTTAAAATTTTAACATGAGGATGAAAGACACTAATTAGTTCACAAGATCGCAATGATACAGTTTAACACTGTTGCAGTTTTTAGTTCTTTCAAAATTTTATTTTATTTTATTTTTTTGTAGTGGACAACAGTACTTCCATTTGAAAAAATGGTGGCATGATCATAACTGTTCTTGTATGTGATACTCAGGGCCTTGCATGGCTGTCTGTGCGCTCAACCACTGGGCTATACCCAGCCTTGCATGTGGCCGATTGCAATCTGACTTTCCATTTAGCACAGACTCAATGTGCAGTGGAGGCTTCTGGATTGTGGTGGCTAGAGCTTGGGTGCCACTGTCCACTTGGGAACAAGAGAGCAGACCACTCGTTTTGAAGTTGTATCTGCATTTAAAGTCCTTTACATGTAATTAATTTGCATATTGCAATCTCAAAACAGCACCCGCTTGGGGACAAAGCCCTCCTTTCAGCCTTTAGAACTGTCCCTTGGCTGAGGACAGGGTTTATAAAGCACTTAAGGACAACTGCTGAAGGCTTAAGTCCCTCCGGTTTCTCCCATAGACTAGCTATGGAGAACAGTGACCCTATGGTTGTAAACCTCTCAAGGAGGGATGCTGTGTCTCTGAAGTACATGATACAGTATGATGCCATGGCAACCCTTTGGAGTGTCATTAAGAGATCTGGGCTGGCAAACATGAATGACGGGTCTGTTCACTGAAGTCAGCACTCACAGCAGCAGAAGCACGTCTCATTAACAGGCTACCAAGGCAGTCTTTCTGAAAATCATGCTAGAACAGCCGTGTGGAGAAGGGTGTTTGAGAACCCATGCAGAGTGCACACAATGCTATTTTGAACAACCCATTTGCCAGAAGCCACTTTATTTGGATGATAAAGTACACCTGGCACCCGAGGCAGATTCTGGGCCTGGTCCATGAGACAGACTGCGTCTGGGTCCTCTCTAGTTTGCTCAGCATGTTACAGAAGAGAAGAGGAGTCTGTATGGAATTGAGGGTGTGTTCAGTAAAGAAGTTGTTACAGAAAGCATGTTCCATGGCAGCCAATGGCTACTAAGAGCGAAACCAGGGCTTTCCTAGCCTTAACTGTGATATACTGCTTCTCTATCACAAACTGTTTTTTATACAAATACTTCTGCTTTCCAATTGAGCTTAGACCTCTGTCTATAAAAGATAAAGTAGATGACGTTCTATGAAAAATATATGCACATATATATATTGAAAAATATTTGCACACACACACATTATATATATACTTGTATATATTTATACTTATAGATAAAAATTATTCTGGCTGCCTAAGTATCATTTTTTTTAAAGCTCTCCTCCTATAAGCTTTTTTCAAGTATTCATATGACACAGAAAATATGCGGGGTCTAAACTTAGACCCCAGTGATCTCCCTGCTCAGAGAAGGGCAGTTTAGCAAACTGCGTCATGGATGCTTACATTGATCACAAAAGCTAGACATGTTTCCCAAAGAAGGCCTTTCTACCTTTCCTCAGCTCCCATTCAGGCTTGGGGCTTTCTTGAGAAAGTGGAACCAACCGGTGTGTGTGTGTGTGTGTGTGTGTGTGTGTGTGTGTGTGTGTGTGTGTGTGTGTGTGTCTCCTGAGTGGCTGGCTCTTAGTGGAGTGGAAGTTATCCTCTATATTTTCTTGCTTTCAACTCCTTTTTTCTTGCCCGTTCATATTGCTTCACTCGTATTAAAGGATGATTAGCCTTGGAAATTTCAAGCTAAAGGATGAGTCATCTGTAGCATTCTAAATTCTGGGATCTGATGGAACCAGTATTTTCAGTATCGCTTGCAGTCTGATTGGGTGGGTGCTTTGGTGTGTGTGTGTGTGTAGACTGTGAACACTTGGCTGCATCTCTGTACATCAGTTTTTCTACTGTGTGGTATGTAGTTTATTTCAGTGGTATATGCTACAGTGTCTCATACTAGTTGGCAAGCTCTGACGCACATTTCTAGGAATTCTACGAGCCAAACAGGGTTACGTTAGGTGCCTGGAGGTGGCTTGGGAGAGAACAATGAGGCCAAAGAGAGTCAGATATTGGGGTAATTCTCCCTCTTGAAGAGCAATTTGTTGAATGCTTTATTCGTATTTCATTGTGTGCGTACTCAGGAAAGAGAATGCAAGCATAGTTCAGTTCACAGTGGCGGGAACAATGCTAAAACAAATCAGGGCTACAAGGTGTTTGGTGATTTATTTTAATCCATTAGTTCATAAATAGTCTTAACTACCCCACAATTTTTCTTATTGCCTTGAAATAATGTTTTAGGATTTAGCATATTTCTTAACTAATTATATGTTCTAGAATATTTCTATGAAGCATATTTTGGACACCTGTTACCACTTTTTTTTTTTAAAGCAAAGCCTCTGTTTACAAAATGATAAAGAAAGTTAAACACTAAGGAATGTGAACACTATGCGAGAAGCAAAGGATACAAAGTTCCATCTCCGGTGTTGCCTTTGTGTGCTGGCTATTTTTCTGTTATTGTAAGCTCTGTCTTTTTCTGTTCTTCATTTCTTCCGTGTTTAAATGGTGTATGTATGTGTGTGCAAACAGTTACACACACACACACACACACACACACACACACACACACACACCTATATTAGTACAGAAGTCAGATGTCTGGTTCCTTTGAATACTTTAACATACGTTAGGAACCAGTGGGCTGGTGACTCTGGCCCCTTTTTATCTGACCAAACTGCTCTTCCTCTCCTAAAGCTGAAAACATTTTTAGTTTAAATATGCACACTTACAGCTCAGTGAACAAAGTTCAGTGCCTGGCAGTCCCTGACATCAGGGATGAATCTAAATGTGCCAGTTCAACTTCATTCCCAAAGGCACGGAGTTAGTGAGGAGTGTGTGCCCGAGTTGGGCGCCATGGTGACTGAGATGGGAAAAGAAGAGCTGGTGGAAGACCCGACTTCTGAGCCAGTGAGAGAGAGGCAGCGAGAATAGAGAACACATCTTCCTTCTCCTTTCCTGTCCGCCTTTCTCCCAGCCAGGGATGACTGCGGCATCTTCATGTCTGTCCCTTAGACCTTAGGATCTTACACCTAAGGCTGGAGAGCCTAGAGGTAGGCCGGATCTGAGCCTGACAGTAATTCCTCAGAAATACATTTCAATTATCAAACCCACCGCACTTAATTGTTGGTTTGCTGTGTTTCGAGGAGAGCAGCGTCCAGCTCTTTTGGGATTCTGACAGGTTCAGGTCTTACCGTGGTCAACCAAGTTGGGAAGCGGCTTTGGGCAGGGGGTGGGTGTGAGGGGATCAGCAAATGTTACAGCAGTAGTTCACACATAAAGGTTCTGTACATTCATTCGTTGTTAGTTTCCTCAGAAATGGAGCAATCTGGGAGTGCAGTTACAGCAGAGTCCAAGGTCCTCAGGAACTCCGGGAACACAGGTGTGAGGCGGCACACAATTTTCTATCTTTCTGTCGTTTTAAGTTGTGAAAGTACAAATTCTTTAATTCTTGGTTTCTATTTAAATTCTGATATGCCATGTTCAAAGGCAGTGTGCTTTTGGTAAAATACAAAACTAACTTGGGAGACTGCTTTTTCAATAGTGACATGAGACATATTTGGAAAATTAAAAATCTCCAAAATAAACACCCATATCTTGGGGTTTTAAATGGACCCTATACCACAGAGTTGAGAAGTCTCCTATTTTAATGTAACATCTGGAAGCCCTAGCATTAAACAGCTACTCAGCGGTGATGATCTTAGTCTTTTTGGGTCACCTATCTATGCTGTCATAGTTCATTAAATCATCTGGGCATCACACACACTGGCTTTCCAAGACTGATCACTGTTATGTTACACGAACTGCTTTAAGTGCTTTTTGTTTTTCTTTATAAAAGAGTTTTGCGTTTTAGAGCTCAATATAAATTAAGCGCTTTTACTTTTCGTAAAAGTTTAAATGAAAAGATCCAGTGCACTTGTTTTTAAATGTCACTCTCTTGACTGTCTATTCTACGCAGAATTTAAGTTCAATTGCATTATTCCCCAATCGCATTAGAACACACTATTTCCAATTACAGAACCCAAGAAGTCACGAGTGTGAGCTCCCGGATTTAACCCAGTTTTCAGTCCATATGTATGTGGGCTCTGCTGGCAAGGCTTTTCTCCTTAGACTTGGGAGGTTGTTCCCAAGCCATTCCGTTGTTGGCTGAGTTGGCTCTGAAAGTGTAACCAAGGGGAAACCTTCATTTATATTGTGCTGAGAGTAACTGTTTCAGTGAACACAAAGCTCTTTGTGCATCCCTTAAACACTCCACATTGCTTTAAAACACATAAACATAAAAGTATATTGGGGATTCTTCCTTAAAACGTTTTGTCTCTTTACTTACTCAACAAAAATGAGCAATTATTAAAATATTTCTCATCACTTTCTAAACTATATCTTTGGGTACCCTTTTTGGATCATATTTGATCTGTCACTTTCCGAGTGAGTAATCCCAGCCGCATGATGGATCACATTATACTTTTGTGACCATGTCTTTGGTTATATTTCTGAATTTCTTCTCACATGATTGTGGCAAACCTGAGGACAGATCATTGGATAACTGTCACTGTTTTCTTTTCTCCTGTAAAATAGTTCATTTCTCCATTTTCTTCTTTAGTGGCCTTTTGAAGAATCCAATCTGGTGAGAAAGTACAAGTTAAAACACAATTAATTATTTTAATTTAGGCAATAGATAGATGATCATTTAGTCATGTGTTAGAAAATCTGGGCATACAACTAATTCCGATAACTGATGCGTATTTTAGCTGACCAGTTAGTACCGAGTGTAAATCGGATAACAGCGGTCAAACTGCCACTGTATCTTCGGCTATTTCACTACAGTAGTGAGGTATATATCCCAGCAGAGATCGGGCATGTGTGGGACCAGCGGAGTTCTGGGAGATGTGAGGCAAGCAAACCTCAGTCAATCAACACTGGTTCAACTTTGCCATTGTCATGTTTTAAAGTGGCAGAAACTTTCCCATCCAGTAACCAATGGTCACAGAGTTTGTGGTGAGCGTGGTAGACGGCCATGGGGAAGGGGCCAGGGACGAGTCTGAATCATCTGGATGATTCTAAGTGGGTCAGAACATTGCACATAAGCTTTCCAGGAGAAGTTTCTTGAAAGACCCCCCCATGTCATTTACCTATAAAAATAGAGCCACTGATGGTAAGAAAAAGAAATCGCTCAGTGGTTAACGTAAGTCACATTTCAATATTCTTCGTCATTGAACCATTAGCACAAGTTATCAGCCTTTTATTTTTACTTCAAATAATACAGACAACAAAAACAATTGACACTCGATAAGGAAGTGACCTAAACTTATTTTAAAATTTATTGAATAAATTAAATCTCATTTAAATAATCTTTAAACCTAACTCTTAGCTTTTAAAAAACACAGCAGAGGGTACCAGGGGCATAGGTTTTAAATTTTGTGTGCTCTGTTTTTTTAAAATTTGAGTGAGTTAATTATTTGCAAATGTAGTGTATCCATATCACATGGATCTATGGCTAGCTATGGCTATTCAGGAGCATACTACCATGGTGTGTGTGTGTGTGTGTGTGTGTGTGTTGCAACCAGAAGCCAAACTCGGACACAGTTCCTTAGGAGCTGTTGCTTTTGCTTTTGGAGACAGCATCTTTCTTTGGCCTGAATAGCCAGAGAACGGGCTGGGGATTTTGTCTCCACTGCCAGTGCTGGGATTAGAATCTCATTATAGATAATTGCCAATATGCACAATTTAAAAAAAAAAGATTTGTATTTATTATTAACTGGGCTATCTCTGCATTCTGGGCCTACACACTTAATCGATACTGACTGGGCACTGGAGGGCTTTAGAGGGACAGATGATCAGAAACCAGTACTTCTAAGTTAGGAAGATTTAGTCAGGGCTGCTTTCTGTCAGAATCTGGTTGCTAGAAGACGAGGAAAGGATGGTAACAGAACAAATGGACTTGGAAACTGCCGTGAGGTTATGTTTTCCCAAATGCCAGTCATTTCCTGTCCGGCAGCTTTGGAAGCTCTGGTCTTGGATACCAGTCAGCTGTGCCCTGAGGATGGCAACTCAGGGAGCTTTCACCAGGGCAGGACGTGAGCATTTAAGACGAGGGTGACACACTACAGCTCCCAGCATGAATGAAGAGGTGGAGAGAACGATGGAGGAGGAAGAGGGTTTTGGTTGCTCCTTTTTGTTTTTGTTTGCTTGTTTTGTTTTTGTCTGTTTTTTGTTTTTGTTTGCTTGTTTTGTTTTTTGTTTTTGTTTGCTTGTTTTGTTTTTATTTGTTTGTTTTTTAATGTTATTGGAAGGGGCACTGCAGAGGGAACTAGGAGGTGAACGGAACTGGGGTGTGTTACGTGAAATTTGAGAAAAGTCGATAAAGAAATTATGTTTAAAAAGAAATCTGGCTCTTGCTGGCTTTCCAATGAGCGTCTTTTCCTCTAAAGACCAGCCCCTCTCTCAGCCTCCTTTGTTTAAAAATGTTTCTAAATGCCCACCTTAGAGACCAAACTTCTATGATGTCAACTTTTCCACTCAGCAGATTTTTCTAAGCATTGGTTTTTATTAAGGGGAGCTGGGTATTTAGACTAGAGATTAAGAGAATATAATTTGCAGTTCCTGAAAACTAAACTGTGACAATCTTAGCCAATGTTGGAAAAACACAAAGTAAGTTTGTGGCCCCCTAGACTTTCCCTGGAGTTTTGCTTTTCTGTTTTGGCTTCTGTTCTATAAATCATCCTCTTTGGAATTAACATAGTTCAAAACCCGATGGCAAAAAGTAGTGGTCAATGTGTAACGTGGGCAACGTGTTGAACAAATAAGTGAATTCCAACAGGTAAGATTAAAAAGCGAGGCATCGATACAGCAGTCCTCTTTAGCCACAGGCCTGGATGCTTGAAACATGGCCACGCTGAGTCTCAGACACGCTATGTTGTTTTCCTATGTATAATTTTGACGATAACATTGATATGAATTAGTCACAGCAAGATATTGTCAATAGTGAATAATGAAATAGGACGATTGTAACATTGTGTTGTAGTAATAGGCAAATGCATGTTATTATACTGCATTATATTTAGATGTCCTGGAACTATCAAAGAGAAACTGTGCCTGTGGGACACTTCCATTTCCCTTCAATAATTACACTGAAGGGGAAGCAAAGCTGTAGGACCAGGAACTCATCAGTGCCGGGACTTTGGCATCAGTGCGGATCAAGCCAGAAAACCAGAAAGCGCATGCTCAATTTTCCCCAAGGCTTCTGACTGCAGCGTTCTGCTTTACATGCTACTCAGCACCGAGCCAGGGACTTCTACTCTCGAACCATAGAAACAGGGACTTTTACTCTAAAAACCTGAACCAGGGACTTCAATTCTAAAACCAAGAATTTTATATTTTAGTGATTTCATGACATTCTGTCCCCATACTGTGCAGCAACAGAATCTACCAAAAAAAAAAAAAGGCTTTGGTGATAAATTGTTAGTTGAATCCAGCTGTTTACTAGTTGATTATTTATTTGGGGGGAGCTTTCTACCTTGCCTCTGTTTTAACATGCATGGGTGTAAAGTGCAGTTACAACAAATGGTTACAAAAGTTGTTGTACAGACAACAGACAGAGATCAGTATTCAAAATGTTACCCAGAACACTAACCGCCGCGTAGCCCTGGAAGACACGCAGAGCCTGTCTGTACATTCATCCCCTCATCACAGACCGCCGTTCAAATTAGTGAGGGTGCTTAACAGAGTCCTTGGTGCAGTGAGCACCTATGAAGAGGCAGCTCCTTCCTGTCTACCTTGGAATCCCAGTTCTGTTTGGGAAATCCTTCCTCACAGGAATTTGAATTAACTAAACCCTAAGCTGGTTAACTGACCTTTCGTGGGTGGTAAAAGATGATTTTAGAAGCATATATCATTTACCGGGAAACTGGGAAACATTTTTATTTTTACACGTAGGCCTTTTCAGGCCAAGGATGTAAAAACAGGTGGATGCAAATTCCCTTTTGTTTGTTTAAACAGAGGTGTGAAGTCAGACAGAACCCATCCAGCTATGGGCCCTGGCTTTCCTCTTCTCTTTCCTAAGTGCCCATGAGCATATTCCAACTAGTCAGAGCTCACACTGGAAGGCCACTGCGGGAGGCATCACTGGACACAGAAGGTATCAGAGGAAACCACAGCGTGGGTGTCAACACAAGCGGTAAACCAGGCCTTGGGTGCCACGGAGTGGCAAAGCTAGGTATTGCAGAGAGAGCTCGCGTCCTGGCTTTGCAGGGAAAGGACCATAGATTCCATTTATGCTACTCATGCACCATCTCCTTAGGGAAAACCCCCACAGAGGAAGTTTGCCATCACAGAGGCCAGGAAGGATGGTGACATCTGCCATTCAGCAGGAGAGAAACTTGCTGTATAAGCAAACTATTTGGTTAAATAATTCTGCCGTTCATACATTAGAAAAATGAATATGTAGTCATATTACCATTCTTGCATAATTTTTTGTTGTTGTTTTTCCAGACAGGCTTTTGCTTTGGAGCCTGTCCTGGAACTCACTCTGAAGTCCTGGCTGTCCTCGAACTCACAGAGATCCCCCTGCTTCTGTCTCCCGAGTGCGTGCATCACCAACGCCAGGCATTTTTTTTCCCCTCGTAATTTTTATTTAACAAAGCAGTATGTTAATGGCAGACAATTCAAATTCCATATTGTATTTAATTGAAAAAGATTGAATTCAAATTTTCTATGGAATTTTGTTTTTTTGGTAAATTCATCCTAAAAACTATCATCATAGCTTGCTTGAAAATGATATGTTCTTAAACTTCTTACCTTAAACAATCTCACTATTTAGTGAGATTAACTTGAGAGGAAACAGATTATCACCTGGTCTTCCAAAGGGATTTGATGTGGGGTCTTTGAACTTTATGTGTTTTATTATACCAGGTAACTGTTACATTGCTTGATCCTTATACAGCCACGCAGTATTGCAGAAAATGTGTTTTTCTGTTTGTCTTTAAGATGCAGACTGGTACAGCAAGAGCAAGATTCATCTCAACCATGACCCTGTTCTTTGTATGTCCTTCATCAACATAGGAATTCGATTTTTTTTCAGTCTTTTGAGACAGGCTGTAACAGCCTTGGCTGTCCTAGAACTCCTCTGTAGACCAGGCTGGCCTTGAACTCACAGAGATCTGGTTCCCAAGTGTTAGGGTTAAAAGCATGTGCCATTACCACCTGGCTTTTTTTTTTTGTTGTTTTGTTTTGTTTTGTTTTGTTTTTTTTACTTTTAAAAGTAATAACCATCCTTAGTAAAATTTTAGTTTATTGTTAAATCTTCCTCAATCATCCCCACCTGTAAAGAGATTCCCCAGGAATTTTGGATATTTGTATTCCCACTCGGGGCATACTTTTTTCCTTTGCAAAAATGAAATGTGTAATATTCAATGTATGAAATATTGCTGTTTTTTAAAAAAATCCTGCTTATCTTATAAATGTTTATATACTGCCTTATTCCAAAGCATTGGTAACTCGCAGTTTACTCTGCCAAATTTTCATTGGCTGGAACAAATAGTAATGATGATGATGGGGCTTACCTTCCAAAGAGCTAATATAAGCAGCATCAGGAGCAGCAGACCAGCAAAGGCACTCAGGAGGATGACCCACAGTGGCACTCTGCCTGGGACCCCGTCTTTGGAGATTTGAATAGGCAGCTGAAAGTGATTATTAAACCAGGTTGTTAGCACTGATAAGCACCCACTGGAACTCCCAGAACACGGAGTTCTTACAGGCTACGTTTTTCTACCAAACAGTATAATTAATCTCATGACTGCACACAAAAAAACTAAACAAAACAAAACAAAACAAAAACAACCAAAGAAAACAAAACAAAAACAAACAAAAAAACAATTGTGTTTACTTTTGAAAATGCCTTTCAATTACTTGAAACGTCCAATATTATCAAATTTATTATCGACAAGAAATGGAGCCCGTCAAAACAGAAATTTACAACCTGCATAGTATGGCTCACCTAGATGGGATATCTAAATTTTCCCAAGACAAGACAAGAAAGTCATGCCTTTGTCTAAAACAAGTCCTTTAAAAAGTCAAGAGTAAAATGTTTGTGTTTTTACCAAGGACTCAGCTTGAAAGGCCTCACTTTTCTGGGGGCATTCTCAAATGGCTAAGTGAAGGAGTTTTAAAACCTTACATACATATACTTACACACATACATGCATATGTACACACATACATACATGCACACATTTATATATACACATATACTCAATATACAGGCATTTTCTGGAAATAGACTTAGGGCCACTTAGGGCCACTTAGGGCATTTCCTAATGTTAGCTCTTAAGGAGGAAACTCACAAGCATCCTCTTTGTCACTAAAGCAAACATGGAAACATCCAGTTACTGTCATGGTGAAAAACGATACAGTAAAACATGGCTGGTGATGTGAGTATCTGTCAGGAGCATGAAATCGGGCACAGCTTCAGCCCCTGGCACTAACGGGCAAGCTTGGTGTGAAGCACGGCAAGTTTGCAGATGAGCAGTCTCACTTACCTCTCGTTTTTGGTTGCTGCTGCTTAACGTCAGCGTTGCGTTTCCACTTTGAAGTTCTCCCCTTATAGTAAGATTTAGGCTGGAAAACTGTGTCTGAAAGGCAGGTAGGTCTCATTGTTAATGTACCGTGCTAATCGAGATGAGAGATGGTCATGTGCGAGTAGCACAATTATTACACCTGCTGCCGTCACCCATGTAAGATCGGGCAGCATCAGGCCAGCTAACGCACCCGCATGGCCTGGGAGAGAAGCTCCTGAGGTCCCATCTCTACGTACGGAACCGTTGACGGCTGCGGGGAAGAAAAGTCACTTTTCCTTTTTAAAAAAACATTTTAAAATAAAAATATAGTTACATCACCCCCCTCTCTGAATCTCCCCTCCAGTCTCTCCTACGAAACCCCTACTCCCTTTCAAGTTGTTATCTCTATTCTTTAATTATTAGTGTCACATATGAGTAAATACAAAACACAGTCTGCTGGGCCTATTTACTATGGCTACGAGTGTGGCCGCTGGTGGATTCCTCATGTCCCAGTGGATGGGTGCCCCAACACCCATGCATATGGGCTGCACTAATTAGATTTGGTGGGTTATAAAAATAAATAAAAAGTTACAGACGGAAGACATGGCGTTGGGGGTGATTCTGGGAGGAGTTGGAGAAGGGAGTGAGGGATAGGTATGACCAAAATACATTGTATACTTTTGAAAAAGAAAAACAGAAATAAAAAACTGTGATTGTTTGTGAGATTAATACAGTGGTGCCTGGAGTACCCTTATACAACCCCCCTACCCAAACTGTCCCTTAGATCCTTCTTAAAGAACTCAAATAAGACCTTCAAAATGATTTCTAGTTGGATATTTGTCTAGGAAAACAAACTTCAACCTTCGCTGGCCTCTCATGCATGTAGGCACAGGATCGCTACATTCCGATGATGAAGACTATGCATTACCAGTATTAAAATGTCATGGCTTGCCAAAACATCATCTTAATAAGACCAAACCTAAAACTCTCAGTTTCATATGACCAACTAAATGTTTCCCTTAAAGAAAAAAAAAAATAAGAAATACAATGATCTATGTTCTTAAACAGCCTACATTCAGATGGATGTGGCTTTGTCATACAGAACATAGTTGCATCGAGATTTCCAAAGGAAATCACTGTTCTGTAATGTATTCATGTTCTCTACTTTGTTAATGATATCAAAGAACGTCACTCCATTATTATTTTAAACCTTAACGAAGTCTTCCCAAACTGTTAACGTAAGCATAGACTTCGGTACCTGAGAAGTAGTTCTCTATTGTACTGAGAACACTGAGGGAGAATACTGCCTCTGGCAGGGAGCTTTGGTGACTACTCTGTTACTGACAGATGGGGCTGATGAGCCCCACACAGCTGGTGAGGGAGAGGGCTGGTCTTACACCATGTTCGCAGAGACCCCCCCCCCCGGCCTCATGGTCTTTGCACAGCTGTGATTTGCACAAACATACTAACGTTGACCTAACACTTAATGATTTGATTCTGTAACTTCCCGGAGCAATGCAACCACTTACTTTTATGAAAGTTGGTTTCCACAAGATGAGTGAAACATTCACTTGGCTCACATCGGAAGGGGTGAGGTGGCATGTGATGGTGGCCAGTTTACAGGTGCTGCAATCCTGTGTGAAAGATACCTGTTAGGGTGCTTGCAATCTCATCACGGGATCTGTATTAAAACACGTCAGCTAGCTTTTATTTCTAAGTTGACAGTGGGTGGGCTGCGCTTGGGCGGCATAAAGTAAAATTATAATTTAGTTTACCTGGATCGTGCCTCTTTTGAGACCCTCAGACTTTGATATTCTCATTTTCTTCCCAGAGTTGATGCCAAAAGGATCCTCAAGGCTCCGGGGTTTGCAGTTCACATTCTAAGGAAGGGAAAAATTTCCCCATTAGAAAGTGGTGAGGTCAAAGGGAAAAGCTTGGATGGGGTAATAACGTGAAGATTCCGTGAATGACAGCCAGCGATATACTCCGAGTGTGCAGGGTAGAGGGTCCGTGAGGCACCCGCGATGTGTCCCCACTCCAGGGGACCATCACTACTTCTGTGACACTGGTAATTGCAACAGAGGAGAAATGATGCTATTTCAAACGCAAGATAGTTATTAAGTTATTGTTTCTCGAAGAACAGCTGATGAACTTCCATTATATATATTCCCACACTATATATTAAAATACACACATACGTTCTATTGAAAAAGAAAGTGTTAGCATGTTACTAACAGGCTCAGTCTGATGCCTGATTTCTTGGACCAGAGGGAAACTGCAGAGATTTTTTTTTTTCCTTTCCATCAGCAAAATATTTAAATGATTGCAAACAAATACTTTAGCTGCTGTGTTTTGTGTTTTTAATTCTGAGAATGCTTTAGTTTTTAGAAAAAAAGCTGCTTGAAAAGAAGGTATAATGTTAAACGTAGAATCCACGCATACAGTAATGATTTCTGTGGCTTTCTGTGTTTTATACATGAAACAGAGAATAATAAGGTAGTAATAATAATAATAAATTCCCCATAGTAATAATAACAATAATAATCAGCACACGTCTATTCAGTACTACAAGTACAATGGCGTTGTTTTGGGTAAGTGAAAAGTAATCTACTATTTTTGTATACATCTGTGTATATTTAGAAAAAAAAATTGAGGCTTCTTTATTAAATTGACTCCCTCAAATAAATTTAAGTGCGGCAGAAATTTCATACATCCATCAACAACGGCTGACATAAGATCTACCGGATTATACCATGATTCCAAAAGGGCATGGCCGAGTCCTAACATTCTGAACCTGTAAACAAGACCTCATTTGGAAACTCAGTGGCCACAGATGTAACTAAATTGAGGTTCTTCGGGTAAGGACATCTCATATTTCAGGAAAGCCCCAATCCAGTGGCGGGCCTACAGGAAAACACTGAGGCAGAAATAAACACAGACTCACAGGAGACACGGCATCAAGGGATGCAGAGCGTCACCAGCACACATGAGATCCTGGGAGGGAGGGCACTGTCCAGAGGGCATGTCCATTGTCAGCACCTTGACATGGACATGGCCCTCAGCATTATTAGATAATTAGCTATCACGTGTAATTACTCATTGTCTGCAGTTTGTTTCTGGAACCCTACATATTGAATTTACACACATTCTAAGTACCTGGTGGGAGTTACTAATTTTTAAATGTATCTCCATTTAAAAAAAAAAAAAAACCAACCTTACCTATCACAAGGGTCATACAAGGCATGAGGCTTACATGTCAGGCAAGGAAGGTAACAGGGTTGGAGAGATGTCTGAGCAGGTGGAAAGTGCTCACTGCTGGCCTCGTGACTTGAGTTCTGCCCCACAGCCTCTGGAGAAAGGCACTTGCTGCCAAGCCTGATGCCCTGATTCATCAGACTGTGGGACCCACATCGTAGATGGAGAGAACTGGCCGAAGCCTGTGGTCCTCTGACCTCCCGTGTGCACTGTGGCCCGTGCACACACTCCCCGTACACAGTAATTAGTGACTGTGATTTTTGGAGGAGATAACAGTAGTGACACACTTGAAAAGCATACATGACTTACATCAGAAGACGACCATCCAGTTGGGTACAGTACAGGATAACCATCTGACGTCAAGTTGGGGAAAGAGATTGACAGCTGAAGTTCTGGCATTGGGAAATGGCTCCTTTTTCTGATCTGTAGGGAAAAAATAGACACGTAATCATTTTTGACTCTTTCCAAAGCATCCTTTCCATGTTACATAGTCCTCTGTTCCCCTCCCCTCCCCCCCCCACTCTTCTCATGTGTATGGGCATGTGGTATACGTGCATCTGTGTATGTGTGTTCACATGCATGTGGGCACATGCATACATGAACATACATGCATGTTTGTCTGGGTGTACATGCAGAGGCCTGAGGTTGGTATCAGGGAATTTCCTCCACAATTTTTTGGCCTTTTTCTTTGAGGTAGGGTCTCTCAATCAAACCCATGACTACCTGGTGCACCTAGTTTCCCGAGCTAGCATGTTCTGGGGACGCCATCCTTTGTTTGTCTCAGCTGATCTGCTACAAATTCAGTCAAGCTGTCACACCCATCAGGAACTTATGTGGGATCTGGGAATCTGAACTCTGTCCCACTTTTTAGACCAGGGTTTATGCTGCTGGGTTCTGAGATAAAAGGTAATTTTGGTTCTTGTTTTTCTTTTGTTGTTGTTTGTTTTGTTTTGAGACAGGGTTTCTCTGTGTTGCCCTGGCTGTCCTAGAACTCACTCTCTAGACCAGGCTGGCCTCCAACTCAGAGATCCACCTGCCTTTGTCTCCTGGGTGCTGGGATTAAAGGCATGTGCCACCACTGCCAGTAACTTTGGTTCTTAACTGATGCTAAGTTATATAAAATTCTGAGTCATCCATGTAAAGATGGCTCATGATGTTATGTGGGAATTGGCTCAATTAATCCAGCAAGAAAGTGTGAATGCCCATCATATGCAGTTGCTACTACTATATTGTTTAATTCTCCCTTCACTCCAGGATAATAGTAGATTGATAATGCTATGCATATGGATAATACTAGGGTTAGTTTCCATCAGTTTGAACACATCTGTAATAAACTCAGTCACCAGTAATGTGTTGGTGTTGAACTAAAAAAAGATAGCAAAGAACTAACTATCCTTTGTGTCACTTAGCTGAGATTAATCCAGATTTGAAATCTGTGCTTTTCCCTCCCTATGTTTTCCATAATTCCTGTCTATCTGCTGTGCAAGTCTGGGCCTGTGCTGTTTGAATACTTTTGTTAGCTCCATGTCTGTATATATCTGTCCCATTTTTATATATATATATATATATATATATATATATATATATATATATATAAAATCTGTCTCTTATTGAGCACTGTCACAGACAGCACCACCACATAGGGAAGAAATGAGGGACACTTTCCTGAAATCTTTAACAGACTTTTATAAGCCACTGTCCCCATCTGACCCGAGATGACCTAGATAACAAACACACAACACACACTACCGTGCAGTGTCTGAACATTTCTCTCAGAATTTATGGTGGATATTCATTTTATAAGGCTCTCTCAGCATATTTACTGTTTCCAGCAAATGATTATCATAACACATATACATAAAACATTATGCTGAGTATACATAATTTTGCATCATAGCTACACGTTAGTTAAGTTGCTCTCTCTCTCTGTGTGTGTGTGTGTGTGTGTGTGTGTGTGTGTGTGGCATGCACACAAATGTGTGGTTGTACTTGTCTATGTGGGGGTATGTGCAGGCCAGGGAGGTTAGGTGTCATCCTCTATCTTTGAGACAAGGTCTCTCACTGATCTGGAAGTTCACCATTTAGGCTAGGCAGGCTAGCCAGTAAGCTTTCAGTATCTGTAAGTCTCTGCTTCCCAGTGCTAGGGTAATAGGCATGCCTAGATTCTTCACTTAAGTGGGGAAGTTTTGGGATGTAGAAATAATTGACTTGATCCATACAAGAAAAACGCAGCATGCTTTTGGTTGCTTCAACCTAGATAATTGTGATGCCCTAAAGCCATAAGTCATTTCTAACCTCACTAGATGGGGCCTGCCATCACTGCTCAGGTAAGCCAGACACCCACTGGCTTCCTTCCACAATTGTACCACAAGCTATGGACACTACCTCACTGGCTATTGATAATCCAGTCTGGTAGGCGGGTTGACTTCCATCTTAGTTTCTGTGTGTTGTGATCCACTAACTCAGAATCCCCATTAATGTACTGAATTGGGACTACCAGGTACAATGCTCCCCCTGGCTACCACACAAGTATGATCTCCACGTCTTACACATTCTTAATGGCTTCTCTGCACAATTTATTTATCTGTGTGTAAGAACTCTTTAATCTTCACCAGCAGATGCCAGGACTACCTAGCTAATAAAACAGCCTATATTGCGAGCTGCTCGTATCTGTAATGATTCCACGTGGTTGCTGAATGTTAAGTCATTCATCAACCTTCGAACTGTAGAGATTCCTGAAGCTATGCCTGGCTTCATATATGAACACGGTCTGCATCCACCTAGGGTAATATGCCTGGGGCTTGCCTGGCAAGGCCTTTCCGTTCAATGCTATCTGCTCCTGACATTCAGTCAGGAGTCACATATTCTGAAATTATCATTTTTTCTTATCAATAAACAGTCCTTCTTAAAAACACCAGAAAATACTGAAAATAAGCAGAAAACACCTTAGTAGCATTTTGCTGCATAAAATTACTTGTTTTTATTATTTGTGTGTATTATATCTCACATACACAAAAGCAAAAGTTTGTATTTCATTAAATCTATTGTGCTATCTTCTCCCCCCCCAATAACAGTCATTTGAGGATGTGGTTACTAACAGGTAAATATCAAGCACAATGTTACCTACTTCAGTTGTTACCATGTGAAACTCACTATGCTAAATATCTGGTCTACAGAACTGCCTTAACTCTTAGCTCTAACACTTGCATCCTCTTATCTTTATTTTGTCCATGAGCAACAATGTGGAAACAATAAAAAAGTTACAGGCATAGAAAACTGATAAGTAGCAACTGTAACTAAAATATTAGAATGCATTGTCTTCCCACGGAATACATAACATTGTCTTTACCGAATGAATGACAGTTTATTGAAGTGATTTCACAGTGTTAGAGTTAATAATGTAAGCCTTTTAGAAGAGTGCTGTTGAATTTTTTTAATCATTAATAATTTCTTAGGGAAATTACCAAAGTCACTAGGGAAGTCACTAGATCTCACCTAAATATGATGTTTTATTTTTATCCCATTAATTTAATTCTAGAACTTAATGCAACAAAATAGCTAGTGATAAACTGTTGTTGCCTACGTTGACCTTACTTATAACACAGAGCTGCCTTTTCAAACCTGGAGCCTAATAAGTTACAATGTATAAAGATCTACAAAGTTGAGGTGTTTTTCCTTTTCCATCCTCTTCTTTGTTATGCTACAGAAGCCTAATAGTCTGAATTACAAAATCATATCCCAGAATTGAGCAGGAGATTGCATTCAAACCAATTTCCAGAATGTAGTCTATCAAAGCAATTTTGGCAGAGAACACAAATTCCTCTCAAGAGCATGCATTTATTCCAATTTTGTATGAGAACTTCATTCTTCATTGCTAACAATTCCCCAAAAGTTTAAGACTGGCTTCGTTTATAATGGTGTTGTATTACTTGATGGCATATGTACATAAATCATTCATTTGAATTGAATGCTTTTTTTCTCCTTGAGCAATACTGAGTCTGTAAGTGTTACCCAGACTAAAGCCTGTTTAGAACTTACATAAAGTTTGCAACAAAGAATTTAAAATGAAAACAAAATTAATGTAGTAGAACATATCACTTAAGGAGACTATAGTGTAAATATTGGCAATTTACAGTATAGTTCATATGAAAGAGAGCAACAGACAGAAAAGAGACAATGACACAATGAATAAAGAAAAATATTCACCAAAGAATTTTGAAATAATGAATTTCTGAAATTATCATGATTCCACGAAACATGATTTTCTTAGCCATACTAAAACTAAAATAAAGTGATATACCTTGCATTTGTACCTATTTGACACCAGAGTGACTTTCCTTCTAGGAAGTTACTCTAAGTTAGTAAGTCTTACTGTAAGGGAATTAGAGACTTTGACTTTTAAAATTGACTCATGCTAAAATTACCAGTTTGCACTCAATCTTAGCCAAATTGAGGCCAAGAAGTGATTAGATTATCAATTTGGACAAAATTTTCTAACATAATTAAATTACAAAGAAAAATGTGCTAAGATGTAGACATTAAATGTTGAAACACTTTCTTGTTTCTTAATACAAATAACTTACTTACAATATTGACTTTGAGATAATTTTCTTACCATGTAGAAGACATTGATTTCATTTCCAATGTCACTAGTGGAATTAATAAGTTCAGGGATAGTCTCATTGGCTGCAATTGAGATGTGGTGTTCACTCGCAGAACTTGAAATAAATAATTGGAAAAATAAAATAAAATGCAGTAAAGTTTATTAGACTTCATTCTTTTCTTTTCTTATGTAATCTGATTCCATAAAAATATTTACAGAGCTCAAAACAGAGAGATTCTTTTATCCCCAACCCTTAATTAAATATCCGAGATGCTAAGTATCACATAATTCAATAGACATTGTTGCTTACCTGACTCCAATATGTTAAATTTCATGCAACTTTCAAAATAGAATTCCATTGTTAGTAAGTCAAGAATTTCCATGAATGTACTAGCATGTACACTTAGAGAAAAATCAGACTGAAATCTGATATTTTCAGTTGTGCTGAAGGTAGAGAACCTAGTTTTTAAAAGAATCTTTACATTTATACAATTTCAAAGTCCTGTTATCGAGAGATGGAGAAGCTCAACCTCCCTATGAAGGTCATGGTCTTTGGATGATCCTCGTAGAACTAAAGACCATCTTTCAAACCAGCACTTCAGCCAAGAGAAGACAAATAAGAGATATGTGTGCCAAAACTCGATTTGAATTAAGTGGAAAGTTGATGGGAGAATCTTTGTGCTGACAGAAGCTGATAGAACAAATCAGACAAAAGGCAACAGACTTCAAAGGCTAAGAAAGATAAGCAAGTCTGTGTGCCTAGCCTATAAACCTTGCTTTATGGCCTGTCATTAGCAAAGAGACAGTGCCATAAGAAACAAACACAACAATGAGCTGTTAAACTCTGTTGGCCTTGACACTGGCTCTCATATTTTTATGTGTGTTGTACATGGTTATTATAAAAAGCTTGGAATTCTTATTCTGTAAAGGAATTCATAAGCAAGGGACTCTGTAGAGTGGAAGTTTACTAACGTGATTGGCACATGTAAAGAAAGAAAGGTCTGAATAGAAAGAATGGTTTCTGAATCGTGGAAGGAATAAATGGTTGACCAACAAGAATTGCTTTAACCTTGTGTGGCACAATGGGCAAGGTTCATCCTATCCCACAGGAATAGTGACCTAGAAACATGCTGTCGACCTGTGAGAAAACACTGCATTTTGCCAAGGACTTTGGCTTACATTTATGAGCCAAGCCCTGTCACTGGCATGGTTTATTTTGATATTTAGTGCACACAGGTTCTCACGGAAGAGATTTAATATGTATGCAGGGCACCACACCAGACGTTTACACTCGGCAAGTATGGGGTGGAACTGTAGTATTTGCCACTTTAACGTTCTTGAATGGTGATGCTTTTGGCCAGGAATCACGCTAGGCTAGGAAAACCATTGGTAATCAGAAAGCTGTCAGTGAATGAAGTTGTCTTCGTCCTACCTGTGAAAGTGTAGTCCGACTTCATATTTTACTGGGATGGATATATTTACTTCATTATCGTACAGAGATTCGGGTGGTTCTTCGCTGTCACTGGAAAACACAGCAACTCACACTAAGCATTACATTTGCTTATTCACAGACCATCTCTAAACATTCAAAAGAGAAGTTTACGTAGGAAAATTAATAAAATACAAAATCACTGAATTCTTCCTTCCTTTTCATTGAGAGGAGGAGGAGTACAGATAGGTGTTGTTAATGCTCCCAAGTTGATTCTGCTGTTGTGGTAGAGCTGAAAGCCACACTGACTCAGACCCATGTTTATGAAAATTGTGTGAAATAATATATCTTACACTCACTCTCTGTGACTTCACGAGCTTTGCTCTTGTCGGTTTAGAGGACTTTGTTTTCTTGCATGTGTTCTGTGATAATGTTGAGAAGCCTTGAGCAATCAGTGTGAAATTTATTGAAGTGTGAAAGGGTGTCATTACGTTTATGTGATGACTCAGTTGACCTTGACAGACAGCTAGTAAATGTTTATAAATTAGTAGATCCTGTTGATCGTAAATGCAATTTAGCAGATATAAGTGTTGTGTAATTACAAGGTAGTCTGCAGTTAATATTACCAATAGATTATCCAATAGGTAAAATTATTTATTTTGAGTATGAACTCCCCCACTGTTGCTAATTACTTCCAAGGTATTTTGTGTGTGTGTGTGTGTGTGTGTGTGTGTGTGTGTGTGTGTGTGAAGCAAAGTGCTTCATGGACTGTTACTTCTGCTGATCTCATACAAGCTTCAAGAATCTTGCAGTGACACTACAAAGTAAAATCATGAAATTACACGAAAGTAATGGTATGCACACACCACATGCATATATATCCACACATACATAAACCAACCTTGTTGCAAGTAAATGAATAATTGCATTTTCTGCAAGTTGTGAGGTATTAAACTGGAATATTATTTTGAAGGTTACCTATGAAATTAAAATAGATACATTAAGAGATCAGGGAAACATCAAGCTTGAAAAAAAAAATACAGTTTATATAAATTCACCACCTAAACAAAAAAATATAAAATTACTTAAGAAACATTATCTTACAGAATACAGCCTCATCATGCATACAGATTTCTAAATGTGGATTGTGTTATGCTTTGCATATTGCTGTAGCCTAGATGCTTTATTCCATGTATATGCTCAAGCTTAATGACCAACGTTATGATACTGGGAGCTTGGTCCTTTTGGCAGGTGATAGGTCATGAGCATCCACAGGAGCGGGACTAAGGCCTTTATGGAAGAGGTGCCGGAGTTCAGCCTCTCCTTCTTGCCCCCCAAGGACGCAGGGAGAAGACATCTTTGAATCAAAATGTCCTCTTTGGACAATGGGCCTGACATTGTCTTGATCCTGCATTTTTTCAGCTTCCATATCTATGTGAAATAGCTTTCACATTAGTGTGCTACTCTGTTCCTGCTAATTTTTCATAGTAGTCTTAATGCTCTAAGACACATGGTAACATTGAATTGAATATTCACAGTTGTAGCATAATAACACGATTGTGGCATGATAATAATTGAAGTCTCTTTCATACAGAAAGTCTCTTTAATACACATGCTAGTCGCCATTATGAAACATGGAAAACATACTTGATTTGTTAATTTGGTAGTGTAAATGTTTTTGAACCACTATAGAGTAATTAAAGAAGATAATACAAAAAATGACTTAGCTCTTAGAATAAAGTGCTATGAAAAGACATTGTTTGGTTTGTAAGAGTTTGCAATACTGAAGAGAAAACAGAAAGTGTTTTTGCTGTGTGAATATCGTACATAGACAGCCCTCTCTTGAGAAGCTCCGCCTGTACACAGGGCCTGTTTATGCACACCAAGAGTCACACTAAAATAAATTACTCCTAAAAACAAAGATCACCTGCATGTGCTTGCCCAATGATCTCGTCAAAACACTTACGTATACTAATCTTACTTGGTGCTAATTCAAGTATTTAAATTTCAGCCAGAAAAACATTCCAGAAATACCTAATTAATGGAAACCACCTAAAATTATATCTTTATGATAAATATTAGACAGAGAGGTTGTAATTTGCAGCTTGTGAACAATTGGCATCATTTACAGATGGGGTGGTGGTGTGAGGTTAGCACTGCTGTATCATAGTACGTAAAGAATTTTCTTCTCTCCCATACATGATCTTATTTTACATTTAGAAAGAAGAAAACAAATTCTTTAAACAAAGATGGTTTTTCTCCTGCCCTGGAGTACTGCTCTCCAATCTAGTAAAGGGGCCTTTATTGGACAGCTCTTCCCTGTATCTTCTTAACCTTCACAACCAGCCTGGGCACTTGAGTCATGGTAATTTCCACGGCCTCTGTGTCTGCAGGAAGATGCTGACAGAGAAGCAAGCCCGAGGACGATGCTTACTGTATATTTTCATAACCCTGAAACACTTAAATTGAAAGTCTCTATCTTTAACCTAAGAATATTCTAAGTGTGAAAGCCAAGTAGAACTTGCTTGCAAATCCCTCCCCTTGCCCATTGTATAACCTAAGAAGTATTTTTTATCTAAGCTTTTATCACAAGCATAAGGAACTGCTGCACTGAGAAAGAAATATTTAAGTTCAATGCCATCCTCAAATGGAGCAGAGTGACTGGATATTCACACACAGAATGTCTGAGTTGGGCTCTTCCAATGTCCATAACCCAGAAGTCCTTTTGCATGGATCACAGACCCAAGTAAACAAGAAAGTCATAAAACTCTTGGGAAAAAAAGATCCCAAAAGTTTCTAAGCATGTATTTGGTAAGAGACTTGAATGTAGATTTTTATGAAGCTCCCCTACAGTTCAGTAGTACAGAAGACAGCCTAATTTAAAACCAGGTTCAGAATGGGACGCGGTGGTTCATGCCTGGAATCCTAGCACTTAGGAGGCAGAGGCAGGGAGGCTCATGAGAGTTCTTGGTACCCTGGGCTATATCATAAGTTTAGGGCTAGCCTGGGCTTCAAAGTGAGGTGCTGTCTCAATAAAAATCTATTGTAGCAGCTATTTCTCCAAATAGTGTGTGTGCGTGTGTACGCGCACGTGTGTGTGCGTGTGTGTGCATGCATGCATGCGTGTATGCGTGTGTGCGCACGTGTGCGTGCGTGCGTGCATGTGCGTGTGTGTGTGTGTGTGTGTGTGTGTGTGTGTGATGAAAAGTTACTCAAGACATCATCACTTGCTGCTAGGGAAATGCAAATCCAAGTCACAGTAAAGCATTGTTTCACGTCCACCAAAACAACAGCAGCAAGAAGAAGAATAGGAAGATAACATGAGAAATTTGAGCTCTCATTACCCTGGCAGGATATAAAATAGTGCATTTGCTAATCTTCTAAAGATTCAGCCTTTGTGTCTGAATGTGACTTACGAAATACTTAGATTTGAGTATGGCTTAGCTTTCCTGGGCTTCTATCACGAAATAACTTAGACTGTTAATTTATGTAATTCATAAACACTGCAGGCTTCCTTTTCATAGTTCTGGAGTCTGGGAACTTCCAAGGGAAGACACCAGAAGACTGGAGTGTGATGGAGGCCTGCTCTGTACGTCATGTGATAGATGGGACAAAGATGTCTCTTTAGCCTCTCGTGAAGCCACGATTCCCAGAGGCAACACTTCCTAATGCTGCCACACTGGCGATTCAATTTCAGTGTATGATTTCACAGAGGCATGACAATCGTTCTCTAGCAGGTATCAGGCTGCAGGCATTTTGCACTCAATGCATGTGGCCTATGTCATCACGGATTGCCCACTAGAAAGAAGGGTTTACACATTGGTCTTCAATGGCCACATATATTTTATGCCTTCTCACCATTTCCCCTGTCTTCAGGAAAGGGTATCCAACTCTGCATGTGACATTTCGATTGGATTCACAGCTGTCTTTTTGGATCCCCTAAAGTGGAAAAGAAACAGAATTAGAGAGGAGACACAGTGAAATGTTTAAATTAATCCTTTTAGAATTTTCCCAGCTATGCATTAGCAGCTGCCTTGCCAAGGTTTGTCTCTTGGTTTAGCTTGGAGAGTCGCAACCCCAGAGGACTGACAGTTCTGTAGTTCATGGAGATCTGAAACCATCCGATCCCCTTTTGTCTGGCAGATTGAATAGTCAGGGGTAACAGAGTATCATAACGGCACCTGTGAACAGGAAACTTCAGTGGTGGATGTCTAACCCATACACCATCACTGTCAGAGCATCATACAGATGCAGAAATGGCCCAGTGGTTAAGAGCACTGGCTGTTCTGGACTGTTCTTCCAGAAGACTCAAGTTCAATTCCAAGCACCCACAGTGGTCTGTAACTCTAGCTCATGCATCCAATGTCCTCTTTTGACCTCTGGGTATGTGACCAGATACACATAAGGTGCACAGATATACATGTAGGCAAAATACCGATACGCATAAAATAAGACGACAAAAGTTTTTAAAAACTCCGAAAGTTTGCAACTATGACCATTAGTGTATTCTAATATTTAAACAAAAATGCTTCCTGCTCTTCCCAAATCAATATTATACAGTGAATTATCCCAGTAGCATGAAAAATAGGTTCAATAAGTGATCATTAAGAGAATGAATGAAAAACAGCACGTTTACCTCAATTCCTGAAAAAATCAGATTTGGGGAATACTGCACTATAGTCCTGGTGTTGTAGGCACTATCTCTTTTGTTTTTCACTGTGAGGCTGAGATTGAACTTGTCATTCTGGGACCTGACAACCAGCAAGTTCTTCTCTGTGGTGGACACATCCAGGGTGAGGTCTGAGATGCACTTTTCCTTGTTTCCACAATCTTTGGCAAAGGGAATCTGAAAGGGTCACAGGAACGTGTTTTTTTCACAGCATAGTTAAACATCTCTGCAATCCACTTGTTAATTCGTGTAACAGAAACGGCATGGCATTCAAGAGAGAAAGAGCTCCACAAGGGACTTGGCTGCATCGCTGAGGTCGTAAGGGGTTTTACGTTCGCTGCTGACTTTATGGGAGAAAGAGTAAACGTCGACGTGTAGTCTTAATGCCCCGGTCCTTCAAGGGAGGTAGATTTCATAGGTACTTTGCACTGGTATCTGTTCCCCAATGAAGGACAGTGTCCAAACCTCGAGCCAAGAACTCCCAGATTGTAATCTACACAGCTTCACGTGTGTGACTTCCTACTAAAAAGCATGAGATGTTGAGGAAGCCGAGAGGCAGAGAAACGGTCCAGCCGTGTGTCTGGAAACCTTACTTGCATCTGTTTACATTTAACCCTCCCCTTATCCAGTCTGTCATCATGAATGTCCTTCCTAGCCTCTTCTCTACAACTTCCAAGTCCCCTGCCACCTCTCCCCTTCATCTCCTCCTCATGTTAAATCAACCCATTAAATGCTTTATTCTATGAGTCGTCTTGGTAATGATGTTGCAATAAAACAGTAACCAAGACACAAGCATTTACACCACAAGCCTCCACCAGGAAGGCCAGGGGTGGAGCTATGCTGCGGACCAGTGGCTAGCTGTGGTCCATGGATGAGGTCCAGTGTGAGTGCTTCATATACATAAACTGTGTCTCACAACTTAGTGCTTATTAGGACAAATGGCATTTTCAATAGTTTATTTACAGTTCCCTTCAACCCCAGCAAGACGAAGTTAGAGGGACTGGGAAAAGTCAGGAACTGCCCAATCCCCCCCCCTCTCTCTCTCTCACACACACACACACACACACACACACACACACACACACACAAAAGATGTAAATTACATCTTTCTGTGTTTTGAGTTTCTCTAACACATTCACAAATAGACATTGTAAGTTAACCTTACGTGTTCGTGGACTGAGTTCGGCAGAGCGTCATCAAGCACTGGCCCGTTCTCTGGATCAGTGAGATTAAAATCCAAAGTCACTCTCACGGAGTCCTGAAAGTCATGCTTATCCTACAAGTTGAAACAAAGCACTTGTCACTGATGTCATGCTTGCTGGATGCTACGACTCTATTGTGGCATCTTTCTGCCCCTGTGGTTTACTGGAACATCCTTGCTCACCTACTCTGATATCACATCATCAAGGCTCAGGAAGCCTTGGCTTCTCTGCAGTGGCACAGCTTTTCTGTCTTGACAAGGGTTATGGCTTGAAAGTGGCCACCCCAGAATGGCAGGTCACTTCCCTAGAGTTCCACAGAGGGACTTGCTGGGGTCCCTCCAGTAACTCTCCTGCCTGGATATACCACCCTGAGCTACATGATTAAAAAATATTGTTTCTCTTGAAACAATACCCATGCTAGTAATCACTTCTGGGAAAGTGATCCTCTCACTTTAAGAAGGCAGACTCTTCCTTCTGTATTCTGCTCATATACATCTAAACCTATGGGATTTTGTAATGCATACTGACATGAAAATGATGTGAACATATTTGGTGTTTTCCATTCTGCAAGAACCATTACTTTTGGTGTCAAGAACAACGATCTTCATTCCCGTTGCTGGGAACGGTCTTATTGCCTCTGAGGTGTGTAGCTATGACATTTCTTATTGTATACAGAGCCCCTGAGACCAGATGATTTACCCACAGTCATTCAGAACATGGGGAGGGTGGCATATAAACTGTAACCCATTCAGCTCCAGAGCAAATACTAAAAAAGCTAACATAATCCGAAGGGATGTTGTAATGTTTGAAACAAGTTCATTCCTTTTAGTGTGGGTCCCTGGACTGACCTTGTAGGTAGGACTGCAGTCATTGTGAGCAGGCTGGGGCCAGATCTGTCTGATGCTGATCAAATTTTATATGAGTTCTAACTCATCAGTTCTCGGTTAGGAATAACTAAAGAGGAGGGCCAACTACACACACGTGCACACCACCCTCTTATCAGTCTGGAAGAAGGCAGCTGTAACACATGATTTACTTGCCAACATGTAGAAGGAGTGCCTAGTGCATTCTGATTCTTGAACTGTGATGTTTCTTTGAATCCTTCTTTCCTGAGTCCCAGAGAAAAAACTCCGCGATATCTGCCTCAGAGAATCGAGGGTGATACGGTACTGCATATCTACAAACACGAGGGGACACGGGATAGACCGGTTTATTTGGGGATGATTCTCACATGATCCAACTCCAGATAGCATTATAGAAATAGCCCCTGAGCAAATGAAACGGTAAAGGATCCTACACCGAGAATATCTGTATTGCGACAGTACAGAGATAGACACGGCCATGGACAGAACATTGAAAGTCTATAGAACGGCTCCAGGCTTCACTACGCCTTTATCGTTTAAGTTATAATTATGTGTAATGTATTTATACACACACACACACACACTCACATAGACATACATGTGAACTATGATTTATCAACCAAATCTGAATTTACTAAATTTTTGTTCAAAAATTTTTTTTATAGTTTAGAAATATTGGCAAACAGCCTAGGATAATGATTAATTTCAATAGAGACAAAAATAAAGACCATTTTTACCTTTTTGTAGAAACATGTCAACTTAGGCTATGTCCAAAACATGAGATTCCACAAAATAAGCCCTCATAGTTTGGCCCCTAACATAGTTCAACATCATTGAGGACTGCCTTAGAAAGTTCAGAGAATAGTGCTGAGGGGGCGTACAGACTGACACTACACACTTGCGAGGACCACACACAGAGCGGGCTGAGAACAGGAACCCCTGCCTCATTGAGTGAAGAACCTTGGGCTGGGTGTGTGTGTGTGGGGGGGGTGAAAGTTGGGTCATTTGCAATACCAGTCTTTACCAGGAGGGGGCAGGCAAAGAGAGGATTCTTTTTCGGGGGGGGGGGAGGAATAATCTTTTACAGACATTTTTAAATGCTACCTGTGAGAGTGTATATAATATAAATATATAGGGAGGCACAGGGAAAGTACAGAATTTTGAGGTCATCGTGTTCAAAGATGTAATTTCTGCTGCAGAATTTACTAGGCTCCATAATTGTTCCTCTTAGAGAGGGAATGATGGCAAGGGTCAACAGGACAAACGTTCTGAGCAGCTCATTATGCTTGGGAGAGGTCATCATCCTGGAGCTAATACATTTTTCTTCTGCATAAAAGTCCTTGCTACAATCCTTATGCTTACCAGCTTTGTAAACCAAGTCCTCTTTAGACTTTAGCTTCACATAAAAACACACTGTAGCATTTATGCATACTGTTTCTTTTCCCTCCACGAGGCAGTTTTTCTTTTGAATATTCACTTTATTGGGTTCAAAATTCATGGTTACTTTAACTACCGCCACATCTCTGGCCCTGCAAACACATAAACAACGGGATTACTCACACATTGTTGCATTTGGGATTACTCACACATTGTTGCTAATATTTAACAGGGGCAGTGAGGGCAGCAAAGGACACTCTTCTTTGTGTACTGTATGTGCTTCCAGGGCTATTGTTCTTTAACGATGAGTTGATACATAAAAGATTGTATCTCATGTCCTAGGAGACCCTCCTTGTTTAGAACCATCTCAGACCTTTGGTTCAAAGACAGAAGGCTTCAAAATGGACCCAACTGGCCAGGTGCAAGCTCAGAATCAAAAACGGGATCTCTGAGTTTGTTTCCATTTGGAAATAAATGGTTCAAAGGCGCCTAGAAAACGAGCTGGGGCCTGCTGGCTTTCATCAACACACTTCTCTGTTCCTGGGGATGTGGCCTTGCTTGTGTTTGAGACACCACCAGTATATGTTGCTTTGTGTAACTCCTGAGTATCTGTAATCCTCAGAAAGGGGTGTGGGCCCTGGGCTAAACCCATGGCTTTGCTTCCCACCATTTCAGTTATTCATGGGTAGGTAGCTTGGGTGCAAAAATATTAAGTAGAAAACTCCATGAGGAAAACAATCATGTCTCAAGTTATGCACCGTTCCAAGTAGCATGATAAAATCTGTAATTTCCTCATTGTCTGCCTGTTTGTGAACCATCCACTAGCCGGAGTACCCACATTTCTATTACAATGAGAGTCTACTATACCAGCAAATGCATATTTATCTGTCTTCCAATAGATTGTTAACTTTTTTTTCTGATTTTCCCTCTCTGTGCCTGCTTGTGATGTGGGGAACAGAGGCTAATGTCAAGTTTCTCCTTTTATCGTCTTTTATCAGCCTCGACCTTTCTTGGGTTGCAGTCTTCCTCTGAATGCAGAGCTCGCTGACGCAGGTAGGCTACCCAGCCAGCAGACCGGGCTTTCTTGTGTCCCGTCCACCAGGGTTCCATATGTCGTCATGCCTTTTTTATGAGGGTGGTATGAATGAGAACTCTGGAAAGAAGCTGTGTCTGCAGAGATCAACTGTCCGTTAGAATTGCAGTGGTGTGGGAAGGCCACCATACTACAGGTCCGCAGCTGAATTACCTCATCTTGCCCTTGTTTAAGTCCCCGGATTCGTCACCCAACTCTTTGTCAGAATTCACATCCTGTAACTGAGATCTATTAGCTTAGCAGACCATTAGCTTCAAACCAACACAAAGGCTGGGATGTCATCAGACAACATCTGAACCCTATAGACAACATTTCCCCAGTTTGCTGTCACTACCACTCTGATGTATCCATCAACGCATTTAAAAATTACTTCAATTTATTAATCTCTCTGTTCTGTTACTGTAAAACACCACGGAACAATGGAACGTTATGTTAGGGGACACTTAATTGACTTGAACACATGTTCCCAAGACATGACACGGCCATTCATATTTGCTTAAGAATACATCATGCTGTTAGTTCCTTTAAGGTGAGAACTGTTTTTTTTTTTTTTTTTTTTTTCAATGACAGTGGTAGGAATCTAAACTCAGCCTCGTGTTCTTGTGTGTGGTAAGCTATCTTCATAGCCCATCTTCTTATATTAGGAAATGGTTATCATACACATTGCTCTGCTGGTTCTAAAGACACACACTTTAAGGAATATTGATTTCTAAAGTATGCCTTTAAATTGATTTAGGAAACAAATTCCTGCAATAAGCAAGGCTATCTTAGGATTTTGAAATGCTTATTGACAGACACAGTGACCTTTAGCTAGTTTACTCCTCGCCAGCAATAAACGGCCACGTCTAGTTTCCTTTGGGGTAATATGGGTTCTCCAGGCAGGAGAGTAGCTTGACTAGTGTCTACCCCGCTCATCCGTCTTTCCCAACTGTATCTTTATGGAGGTGTGGGTGTCTGGGCCGCTTGACTGGGCTCTTGCTATCTATGCGCTGAGTGCCTCTGCTCAGCTACCTGCCTTCTGCATCATGTTGCAGTACTGCCTTGCAAAACCTCGATCTTACGACTCAGTGTCAGTCTGCTGTCAATGAAGCCTGGTCGTGAAAGGGTCTGCATCCATTTCTGTGATTCAGGGAAACTAACAGAGTCAGTTATCTCTTAAAGCTTGAGCACACACACACACACACACACACACACACACACACACACGCACGCACGCACGCACGCACGCACGCACGCACGCACGCACTCACCTTCTAAAGACACCACCCATGCAACGTCTCCCAAAAGAGAACATTGGTTTTAGTGTCAAGCACATAAATGAGTAATTGGGAACCAAATTAAAAGTTCATTCTACCCACTCCTATTTGGCTTCTTTGTTAAGACTCACTGATGCATCAATTCCTTTAAATAACTTGCATCTTGCCAGAACAGCACAAGATGAAATAGGCATTTGACACTGGTAAGAGTTCTAATCATACTATGTGGTCTGAAGTCACATGGAAACATACTTCCAAATGTATAACCAGATCTTATAACATACATACCAGAAGAGGGCAGCTCCACCAAGGCCTCCAATGGTCACATCAGTCAGACCGTCACCATTTAAATCCATTTCTCCATGGATGGACTGGCCAAAAAATTTCAGTGTCTTGCCATCCCCGCTTGATGGAATGCGCTGTGAAAAGCCCAACAGACAGGTTGGTGTCTCAAGAGTCCATTAAAAATAGTTTTTGAATAAATCTGAGAATTTAGTGAGTAAAGTTGAAAGTGAAGATCTTTGGGAGACCGAGAGGGCCCTGAATGGAAGCAACGGGGAATGCAGGGATGCTCCCAAGGGAAATCAGTCTCCCTACAGTACAGGATGTCACGTCAGCGTCAGTGGCTCAGAGAGACAGGAAATTGATACATAATGTCGTTTTGTCTAATTTCCTACTTCTTTTTCAGTTCTAACAAACAGATATACTCAAAGGTGCTGGAAACTTCATATGCAAGACGGAGGAACACAATTCCAGAACTTGTCCTAAAACACTCATCCCCATCCGCTCACACCCACCCCCAGTGTGAGGACGGCACTGTGGATATGGAGCTCGTGAAGGTTCATCCATGCACCTGCACACCTCACCTTTCATGGAAAGTGATCTTTCTGTGTTGGGGAACTTGGTGTTTGCCCAAGCAGGTATTATTTTAATAGAAGCTGTTGGCACTGAGACAGGACTGAGAGACCCTTCCTAAACTTTGGGTAGTCTCTTCTTTCTCAAGTCCTTTAAAGTGACAGAATTGGAAGAAGTCAAATAGGAGGAGCTGGTGTAGGAATACTGTGTGTCCCTTCTGCAATTGAAAGGAGTTGGCACCGCCTGATTCTGGGCCATGCTGCCTCTCTGGAGATGGGTAAGTACACCCTCATCTGTCCTCTGGGAATGCACTTTCCACCAAGGAAACAAATGAACTCTAATACTGTTAAGTTAATTTTGTTTAAAGCTGCATCTTGATTCACCGCTACTTTAAAAAACGCATTTCTTATGACAATTTATTCCATTAATCAATTAAGAATCTTTCCTCCAAATGCCATTTGTTATACAGGGCTCATACTGAAAGAACAAAGGACCAAAATAAAAGTAACCTCTTTGTGTGTATTTCCTGGTTCCCCGATGCCCCCACGGTTCATACCCCAATGGCTGACACAGGTTAAGTATATAATCCCACAAAGATTTTTAACAGAAACAAATCATTTTCAAGTGGGCAGGAGTGTTGTTACTTACATAAGCCTTTTATTTTGTTCTCTATTAATGCCATTTTCAACTTTATAAAAAGTTAACAAAATATTATATGAATAGGTTTTGAGAATTCTGTTGACTGCAGAAATAAAAAGAGACCACTGAAATGTAAATAGAAATGGCTAATGCCTGGATTCTCTTCATGGCTTAGATGCTAGGGAATGTTGATGTCAGTGTTGAATTAGAAGATATTTATTCATAATAGCCCATTGCTTAACTGACTACAATTATTTAGAAAATGCTTGCTACATTACAACTTCTCTAAACTCTCTTGTGTCTATGATGTATTAGACATTTACGTGAATGAATACTTTTCTCATGTTATAAGAAACTAAATTTATAGATTAGGTCAATAAATGTAGAACTGCTTAACTCTCAATAAATTTAAAACAAGAGCAACAGAAATCCCCTGCAGGCCAAGATTAATTGTTCACATTTTTTTTTCCAAGAGGGATTACTTGAGAAAACAAAATATAAATCTCAGAAATCCACATTAATTTGAAGAAAATATATAAAATTAGTTCACAAGTATAAGTTTAATATAACTTGTTTAATAGCAATATGGGCATTGAATATAAAAAAAAAAACACAATCTCATCTCCGTTTTTGACTAAATCACACTATTGTCCTCTTAGAGTCTTCGGGGTTAAACACACTGGAGATGTCGAGTCACATTGTTACCAGGTGTCTTTGTTTTCTACTGTTTTGCCAGTTCAAATGATCAGGTTCAAGAAGACAGACAAATAATTGCAGAAAGAGCACAGGAGAACACCATATCTAGTTTCCCCCAAAGTCAGAATAAAGAAACAAAGTAAGTTCCGAGCTGCGGAGTAAGGCAGGTGAGACCTCTGGGCATAGAAGGTTGAGGGTATGAGGGGACCGAGTGTCTTACTTGTGCATATCCCTTTTTTATGGTCTTGTCACTGCCGTGATAAATGTACACAGCTCCTGCATGGTCGTCCTCCAGAGGAGCTCCGATCACAACGTCATTAAACCCATCCACGTTGAGGTCTTTCACAGCAGCGATTGCTGTTCCAAATCGGGCCCCACAGGGCTCGTTCTTGTTTTCTTTTGTGCATGAATTATCCTTCAAAGACGAACAGCATGTCTGCTTAATTGGTTCCAGGCTCATTTGATATTCAAACCTTGTCTGCAGGGAAGACAAAACAGGATGCTTAAGAGCTCCCAACACTGCTGCTGAGGAGCAGGCTTGTTTTTAAGAGCATGCTAAACCAACCTTATGAAATAACCATCAGCGTACCAAACGGCAAACCTGTAAAACATATGAAAAGGTAGGAATGCCAAAGGAGCCTCCGGGAGCCAGCATGCTGAGAACTCTCTTCTTAATGAAGCTAAGAATGTGTAGTTAGCAGCACATTCTCTACTCGTGAAAGAACTGGAAATGAAATCCTCCATTGTGGCCCCAGCCCTGTTTTCCCAACAGTACACTTCTGTTCTGTCTATTCTCCACCAAAAGTCAAGGACAAAATTTACTCTGTTTGAAACGCAAACCTTTGGAAGCTGCCTGGAGTGGAAGGGAAACATAGGCAATGCTAGAACATACTTTCTTGGAAAAAGCGGGAGGGAGGAAAAGAGACACACAGAGAGAACACGCGCAGTTCTTTCCCCAAAACACACAGGAGAAAGCCAGAAAGATAGGAATGTGTGATTTAACGTAATTGGTATGAGAAACACAAGAATTAAAAAAACAATAAAAACAAAACGAGTCACCAACCTTCTGTAAATAGCAAATATCCTTTTAATAAAGAAAACAGAAATTACTTATCCCAACAAACGGTGTCTAAGATTGGGATCGAAATCAGAACATCCTCTCCTATGGCAAAGCATTCTAAAACCTACACCGTCTCCCAGAGGGCCTGGAACCACTGCTATTAAGTTGTATCTCTCTATCACCATGGTAACTGTAGATGCCCCCAACCTGTCCAGGCTACAGCTCTTAAATAGGTTATTTACCAGGTGAGCAACATTAGCCTTTGCCTTATTTACCCTGCATATTCCAGTGTTTTTTTTTAAATGAATAAAACAAAACCTGATAGTAACAATAAAACAAGCAAACACATAATTAAGTTCTGAAAGCAGTTCCTTTTGAAACGGTGAAATTGAATGGACCTTGCAAACTTCTTAGAACATTTTTTTTTCCCCCACAAGCAAGTGAAAAATATTCTCGCTGCATTAATGGGAACCGAAGGAAGCAAAGGCTGGAGTCACCAAATTCGGACGCAGTTACCTGGTTCACAGCATACACATACACTTTGCCCTGTTCCTCTTTCTCTGTCCCCATGTACATGGGGGCCCCGACGAGAAGCAGGTCAGTATAAGAATCTTTGTCGGTGTCGATTGCTGTCAAGACGCTACCAAAGTAGGAACCGATCTAGGACACAAGACAGAACAAGCAGGAATGAAATCTCAGAGGCGCTCCTGGAAGGGGAAGTCTACTCCTCTATTCATCGTCCTGGCCTAGAAGACGGAGTGCAAAGTGCAGTCAAAGGCACCAAAATACAGAAACATTTGCTAGCCAAATCTGTGTAGACTGAAGCATGACAAGGTCCCATCTTTGAGGATGGCCAATGGTGACAGATTTCTCTCTAGAAGTAAACTACCTTTACTTCTACTGTGAGTGTCCTTACTTGTCCACACTCCAGGCCAGTGATCCACAGTGGGCTTCTTAAGGAAAAAGAAAAGACATGAGATTGAGGGTGTGTTTTCTAGTGTCATCGATGTGTAAATATGGCGCCATGGGAAGGTGCAACAGATGCATGGAAGTAACTGAGTTCTCCTGCCGTAGTGAAGAGTTTGTTGCCTTGTGTCTGATGAGTGCTTACTCAATAGTGGCTACATGAGGTCCAGCAGCTCCAAGGGATAGAAAAATAGGACAAGCTTGCAGAGGCTTTGAACATTTTAAAGAGATGGAGTTGTTTCAGTTGGGAACTGGTTTTACTCTATCTAGATGCTTAAAACATATTGACTTGTATTTAATACTTTACATTCTTAATGTTCCTCTTACAGACACTCTCATGTAGGCTTATTTTAGTCAGTCTTTGTTCTCATAATTCTGCTTCTCTATCATATATATATATAACATATCTTCATAACGGATTTTGAATAATTTTTAAAACGTCAGGTCGAAAGTCACAGAGTACACACATACAGGCAGCACAGAACGATTCATCTTTACCTGTTCTCCCCTGAGTGTCTGGAGAATTTTGATGTTCCCATCCTCCATCTTGTAGACGACGACCTGGCCCGTATGATTGTACCGAGGTTGCCCAGCAACATAGAGCACATCTCCAGGGACAGTGGCAGAGTTCACTGTGTAGCCTAACCAAAGAGAGATCCCAGGTGTGTACCTGCACCCATAAAGTCCCACGGAATACATCACCAATTACGTTAGATGGTTAGGCTAATCATGTTTATATTTTCTTGTGCTTAGTATTGGTGGGAAGCCAATGTGCTCCCTCCCCTGTTCCTACCATGTCTGGATTTCTCTGAAATGATACTTTCTCCCAAACCAGTTGCATTTACAGATGCAAATGGAGTAACGGTGATGACATAAAGGGGAAGCAGGCACTATATGCACTTGTGAACCCTCATGCACACGCACGCCCACCTTAAGACCCTACAGTCCACGTTGGAGCAAACTAATTATATTTTATTTGGATCAGTGGTTCTCAACCTGTGGATCATGATCCCTTTGGGGGCGTCAAACGACTCTTTCACAGGGTTGTCTAAGGTCACCAGAAAACACAAATATTTACATTATGATCCATAATTGTTGCAAAGTCATAGTTATGAAGTAGTAGCAAAAATAAATTTATGGTTGTGGGGGGGATCACCGTGACATGAGGAACTGTATCAAAGAGTCACAGCATCAGGAAGGTTGAGAATCACTGATTTGGATGCGAGTGTCTGTACTATCAACACTAATAGTTTTATATACTTGGGATGATAGGAAACACAATCCCTTCCTGCATTGCAAACCAAGGTTTTGCACTGAAATTTTATATGACTGAAGATTGTCTAAGTTGTATCATAAAGGTATTGCCTTTACTTTACTTCCTTACTTCCTGGCCATTTGTTGATGGAATTTAGTTTTTTTGCTGTTGTTTGGCCTTGTGGGATTGTTGTTTTTGCTTTTTTCTTTTCTTTTCTTTTTCTTTCTTTTTTTTTTAAAGCAATTTTGTACTTGAGATAACAAAAGCAAGTCTGAGGACTTATTTTTTCTTTTCTTTTTTTGAATATTTTTGACAAAAACATCAAATAATAGATTACTGGATCAATTTTCCTTATTCTTACATTGATAAGTGAGTCACTTCCAGAGCATGCACAGAGCATGTTTTCTATGAACTGCTGTATGAGAGCCGTTTGGTTTCATTAAAGCTTTCCCGACATTGCCCATGAGTACCAGGTTTATACTTGTGGATGTTTTGATGGGTGTTAAACTATCTAACGGCAGTTCTGTGCTGTTATCTTTAACTCTCTTTTTAAAAATTAAAACTGAGTTTTTCAACCATCTACTCATCCCATTTTTCATGCTCTATAAAATTTTGTTTTCTTTGCACCTGCTCCTACTCTATTTATGTCGATTTATCTCATGAGCTGTGTACAATGTTTCTCATTTTTCCTCCATGCCACCCCCACTTAAGGTTTAAGAGCACCATGCTCCATTTCAGTCAGAGCCACCTTGTTATGAGAGAGGGAGCTCATGCGTGCATCAATCTGATCATGGGCTCTGTGCTTTCGTGCATTCTGTTCATGACCAAGACATCATCACATTCGCCTCTCTGTTGATTTAGTTAGTGACCAGGAAATGCATGGACAACTCTCCAGTTTGACATTACCTTATATATTTGTATACATGTACAGCCAAATTTCCATACACCCCCTTTTTGGGGGGGCATTCACCCTCTTTTCAAGCCTTTGGGCACACCTGTAAGTCCCTTGCTGCAGAGATGGAAGGTCTCACAGCACGACGGTAAAGTCACTATTCAGATACGTGGTGGCTTTTTATATATCCTCAGATGTTATTATTAAAATAAACACGATGTTCTGAGCATCTTAATATACATGATGTTTTGAAGGAAAATAGTTTTGCATTTTGTATCTGTAGAGAATGGAGCTAAATCAATGTGAAACTGGCACTACATATAGGCTTGATCTCTGCAGAAGGAGGCTATGCTCTAACAGCTGGGAGCGGCTTGTTACTGGGGTGGAACCCAAGCATGGTTCAGAACACCAGAGAGAACCACTTCTAACTGGGAAAGAGGTCATCTTTTTAATTAGCAAGTGTTTTACTAAAAGGCAATAATTTTTGTACAAATAACATGTTTACATGAATGTTAAGGAAACAAAATTTGTCAGGCATATTATCCTTTGTGATTTTTTTTTTCATTTGTTTTCATATCTTCATCTTCCTTTACGAAGGGTGAGTCTAGTTTCATACCTTCTTGGAAGAAACAAGAGCTTTGTTGATGGACTGGGAAATACAGGACTTACCTTCATTTGCTTTGTGCTTTTACCTCTCGTTCCTTTAGAGTTTGTCAAGCATGGTTAGAACACAGTGTGGGTGTATTAGGACAAAGTATGGATGAGGCTGACCGGGACAGCAGGCTCACCCACATTCTCACGACAAAACCCAAACTCAGTGTGGCGGAGCACATACTGAGGCAGGCACTGTGGTGATCAGAAGGGTGGGCGATTCTGTCCAGAGCCATATATACGCCTCTGTCCACGCTGCCTTATTTTGATTGATGAGCACACATATTTCCTTAGAGGGCTGGCCTTTCACTTCGTCCTCTTTGTAAGATTTCACATGGCCACACTAGTTACCTTTCACCCAGAATTCAGAGTAGTGAACTCAGTCCCTTTGTAATTTCAGATTTGAAAAAGAAATGGGTTAGGGAAGTACATGAAAGACATCTTACGCTATTAGGCACCTGTTGGTAATCGTCTTATATCTTAACTTTTGACGAAGGTAATGAAATGAACAGAAAATGCATTAGTATACTATAGACAGCACATGCAAATTTTGTTATTTCCTAAGCACAGAGGATCAATGAATGTGCTCATCTATTTACATATATTTACATATATTTACAGATATGCTTTGTCAACTAGTAATTTTTCCAGTTTTACCGAATTGCAAGCGATTAGAGGAGCCATTCAGAAGAGTAGGGTTATTTTAATGTTTTCTTATGCGCAATGCATAAGAAACTTTAAGTCACTTGAGCATGCTTTAATCAACCATTAACTCAAACTTTAAGGGAATAACAGATTTGGCATTTTTTTTTTTTTTTTTTTTTTTTTTTTTTTGTTTAGAGAATTTGATCATAGAATCCTAACCCAGGCTCTATCAAAAATACTGCACTGTTAAACTAATAACTAGAATAAGTGAATATGGGATGGGCTGTGAACATGTCAAAGACATTTGTGTTTTTCACTCAGTCTTTAATTATCTAAATACTTAGTGGTAATAGATTCAATGCTAGAAACTGTAGTATTTAGTTTCCTACTGATGCTGTAACAAATTACTATAAACTTAATGGCTTACAATATCCATTCCAGATGTCTTAACTTGTGATTCTGTCAGCCAGAAGTCCTAAGGAGCTTTCCCTGGACCATAGTGAGAAGAAGGTAGGTCTGTGTACCGTCCTGGAGCTTGTGGAGAAAATACTTCTTTGTTCTCCTACCTCATCCTTCTTCATTGCCAGCAACGGAGATCTCTCTGATCATTTCTTACAATTCTATTACCCTCTAAACACACCTGATTCTTATGCCTTAAACTCACAGAGATCCACCTGCCTCTGCCTCCTGAATGCTGGGATAAAAAGGCACGCACCACCACCACCTGGCTTGGCTAGGGTCTTAAAGTGAATTTCTGGCTCTTCAAACACAGGATCAACTGCCTTTCGGAGGATTTATAACAATTTCCATGTCCGAATCCATCTATTAAATAGGATGATAAATGGTCTATAATTGTTCCGTCTAGGATCAAAAGAAGGGTTGGGGTAAAATGGCTTTTGATGCCAAGTGTTTTCCCATGTAACAGTCTCGCGGATTATTAGGTTATGAAGACCTTGGAAGCTATTTGAGCTAAGCCCCCACCCGGCCTCTGCCGGTACATAACACAAGGAGAGAGGTTGCTTGTGGCCTGCATTGTTTTGCAGCATCTCCTTTGCCATTTTTAACTTGTTTAATATGTTTGGCACAATATAACCACTCCATTTGTGGGTGCTTTTCCAATTAGCCCAGAGTCAGGTATATTGATACAGGGGAATAAATACCAGCATAAGAATCAGGTGACCTGACTGGCAGGTCAGATCTGCTACAGGTAATGAGGGCACAATCACTCTGGTTATTAATTTAGAGATCTGATTAAGAGTGCCTCTCGCTACTAAGTGTAGTAAGAAGCATGAGCTAAGCCCCGGCAGCTTGGACCACGCAAGCTCAACTGTTTCAAAGATAGTATACTTCCTGTTCCTGCTTCCAATTTCTTCCAGATCTGGGAGAGGTGAGCTTAGGTCAAGGGGTCATTTCCACACCTCTCTTCTCTAAATCACCTTCTACTCTAAATCGCCTCTGCCATTTGGGTTTTCGGTTGTTCAGTTCTACTTGTTTTCTGGTAGGAGGAGAATACCATGACCTTTGTGAGGGAGGAGAGAGGACCTTCCTTAACGGAACTTGCTGTGTCTTTGGCTTCCGCAGCCTCTGCTGCTCACTGCTGTGTGTTTGTTTAGTCAACACAGACTCCAAACTCTCTCAAGTCCTGATTCATCTGCAGCTGGAATGCACTCTGAGTAAGAAGAGATGTGGAGGCAGTCTAAGGCTTGATGCCTTCCTCATAAAATAGAAGGAAACCAGGATTTAGAAAGAAAAGGTTTGCCTCCACGATAGAAAACTACTTGGAAGAACACTTTGACGGTAAGGTGGGGATACTTCAAGATCAAGGTGTTTGCTTTATCACTGTTCCCCAACACTGAGAATATTGACAGGACAAGGGGAAATCTGCGGACAAGGGTTTTAAGTGAAGACAGGGAAACAGCATCAGGAGGGTCCTTTTTTCTTTCCCCCATGTTTCCTGTGCCCTCGAAACGATGAGAGAGCCCTCACTGCCACCTGGTTGGTCCTGAGTCTGGTATAGACCCTGAATGAGCTGATGCCACACATACATCCCATCTTCTTATTCCCGGCAAGTGTTTAGACCACAACACACTGCTGAGCTTACTTACCTACAGCATTTTACTGAAGATGCTATGGATAGAGAATATAATAGAATCGACGAGCTATATGATAAAGCAATTGAAATTTTTCTTTCACAACTTGCAGAAAGAAATTATGGATAAATATTATGTAGGGCATGTCAAGGTTTTTCTAACCTCATTTTCTGCCTACCAGGTCCAAAGGTCTTCTGGTTTTAAAGGAAATATTGGACATAGTCAGTATTCTTAGACAATATACATCAGCTAACATTGTTCCTTGCACTGGACACACCTCAGTGTAGTGAGATAGTCCTTCTGTGGCACTGACCACGCCCATTGGGGGTGGAGCCAGGGGCGGAGTGACCTGAGGAAGGAGGTCGGAGGGAGAGCCAGGAAAAGCTCTCTTGCTGGCGTGACTCGGACAGGAGAGGATCGGGTTGAATTTCCTGGTGTTCATCTGTCTAGGTTGTAAGTTATTTCTCCCTGAATAAACATCTATTCGGCCTATTTGTTTATCCTGATCCTTATTAAACCTCGTTACCTCAGTAGGCACTGACTCATTGAGGCTTCTCAGAAGTCTGAAGCCTTAATCTTTAAGGCAGTCTTATATGGTTTAAAATTCCAAACACAGGAGAAAACAATGTTAAAGAGAAAAACTAATGTGAACATTTCTTTTGAAGAAGCTTCTTGAGGTTGCATCCAAGTCTTACCTAAATAAGAAGCAAGAGGTTCATTCATTTTGGTGGGCTCAGTTTGGAAGGTGGTGTTTTGAGGGATGACAATCTGGTTAGCCTTCTGCATGACTACAGTTCCGTTCCAGTCATAGGCTCCCACTGCTCCAAGCATGACCCAGTCCTAACACGCGAGCACGGAAAACATAGCATCAATGACATCATAGGAATTCTTCATTTAAATTAATTCATACAGTTCTCAAAATCACTTTCGTTACAAGAACTCAATATTACAATCCCCTTTTTGAGCCAAGCAGTATTGGTCCACATCTTTTACCCCACCACCCCAGAGACAGATGGATCCCTGAATACTAGGCCATCCTGGTCTACAGAGAGGGAAAGAACCAGGGCATCCAGGTCTACACAGAGAACCCTATCTCCAAAAACCCAAAAGCAAGCAAGCAAACAAACAAAATTCCTGTTTTAATTAAAAAGGACACCGAGGCACATTATGTAACTTCCGCATTGAAATGTTGATATCCATGCGTAATAATGTCTTCTCCTATTATTCTGTGCATACACACAGGCATGCACGCACAAACACATCTTAGTCTTCTAAGGGAAGCAATGTGACCACTGAATACCTTAGCACCAACAAAAAGACTCCACATTTTAAACTAACATCTTAAGTACTTCATTTCCCTAGATGCAATTACATTCAGCCGGGCAGAGACCGTGAGGCTCACAGCTATTAGCTGGTAAAACATAGGGCCTATGTGAAGTATTCCCCTAATTAGAAACTTGTAGCTTCCATTTCCCCCATTTGGATTAGATACCACAATCACAGGCTGCAGAGCTGCCCTCGCCACACACGTCAAAGCGATCTCATACAGATGCTTGGGCACCGCCTGGGTGGAGACAGTTTTGCAGGGAAGATCTTTCCTTCCTGGACATGGTCATCATACCTGTGAATAATGAGCACTGAAGCCGGTCTGAGACATTTCCATCTCAAATGAAGCTGCTGACTGGTCGGCTGTAGCTATAATGTGGGAAAGATAGCAGAGTTAAGTGGCTAGCCATGTCTTTTCGGCTGCTGTTCATTTGCTGGAAGCGGAACTGTTGGAATCTGGGGACCTGCCAAGCAGAGCTAAGGAACACATTAGAGCGCTATCAGCCATGTGCTTCAAAACCCCTAGGCAGGGCTCAGTGTAAGACAGCGGTAAGTGAAGGGACTGTTCTCCTGTTCTCACACGTTGGCTTCTCATCCTTGCTGAGGGAATACTGATTTGCTCGCTTGCAGGAAGTTTATCTGGCCTTAAAAAGTAAGTTAAAAATAACATATAATTTTAGCAGTCACCCAGACTGTCCTTTCTGTCATAGCTGGCTGTAATTCCTTGGTGCGTTGGAAAGCTGAATTTACTATAGTAAGAGTCAACTGTCTTGTCTATTTGAACTGGGAACTCTATCAGAGCTGACTTTGATGCCCTACAGGGCTGGGAAAACCTTCACTGGTGTTTTTAAAGAGATTCCCAACTCACCAGGCCCGTCTACCCGCCATACATCCTCTCTAGGAGCCACTGTTGGATGGAGTTTACGGATCCCAGAAAATGTTGGTTCTGAAGCTGGATGTGGGGATCCTTCAGCTCAGGAGGTGACTTTCCCCACACAGCTCACATTTGTGTCCCATCTAAGTCTATATTTTTAAACGCACATTATATTTTTAAGACACCAATTTTAACGCTCACTGCTGGAGTCCAGACAAGTGAGAACATTGTATGGCATTTCACTCCTCTCAAAATATGTGCAGACCCAAAGCCACAGCCTCCTGGTGGGGAACCAAGGGGATGTTGATCTGCTTGTTTCCAGGGAGTTACTGGTTTACTTGGTCTTAAAAATAAGTTAAAAATAACATGTAATTTTGGCCAAGTCAGTCAGTCTGTCTGTCAACTGATTCATGAGAATCATTTAATTTGTGAAAATAAACATGTTTGCTATTTATTTACTGGCATAAGACCATAAAAATGCATCTGTAATTGGATTTTTATAGGGCTACATTAAATATGGAAAGCAATTAAGAATCCGAGCCTATCATTTTAATCCCTTATACAAATTGCCCTTTAAATGACCAGGATGAATTTTACCTCAAGATGTCTCGGGGTTAGGGAGAAACCCGGTGCCAGTGAAACTCACAGGCATCCACAAGCATGACCCCAGCTAAGACTCCTAGCAATAATGGAGAGGGTGCCTGAACTGGCCATCTATTGCAGTCAGATTGGCGACTACCCTGATTGTCAACAGAGAGCCTTTATCCAGTAACTGATGGAAGCAGATGCGGAGAGTCTTCCTGCAGAAAGGGAGGAGGGGTTGTAGGAGCCATGGGGGTCAAGATCATGTCAGGAGTGGGGAGACCCACGGAGACAGCTGACCTAAGCACATGGACTCTGGACAGTCAGGGAGCCTGCATGGGACCAACCTAGGCTGTTCTCGAGGCTCCTAGCAGCAAGGGCAGGACCTGTCCCTGGTGTTTAGCTGTCTTTGGGGAGCCTGTTCCTCATGCTGGATTACCCCACCTAGCCTTTATGCAAAGTGTGTGTGTGTGTGGGGGGGCTCAGTCCTACCTCAACTTCATGTGCCAGGCTTTGTTCAAGCCCACGGGAGGTCTGCCCCTTTCTGAATGGAGACAGGAGGAGCAGATGGGGGGAGGGAGGGGGGAGGGGGAGGGAGAAAGGAGCTGCATGACCTTCTGCATGCTGCACCAGCAGAGTGATAACAGCCTGGTCATGTGCCAAAGTTCTCACTTTCAGCCTGTCCCTGACACCACTCCGACCTATGTGCCATTTCCGGTTAGGAACATGAGCATTTCCCCCACCCCAAAGATTATAGGAAAGGGAGATTCATACCCTTTCCTGACCTATTCAGTCTACCCTTGAGCATGCTGGACTCACTAGGTGGCATTGTCCTTGGCAAACCAGACTTTCATAATTGTGGCTATTCACCGTCTAAAGTAAACATTGACAGGAAGTGGCGATTTCCCAAACGGTGGAGGGGAAAGACTTTGTGGGTTCATTATGGAAACAGCAAAGGCTAATATACTGAACGCGCCGCTGTGGGATGCCAGTACAAGAGCCAAGGCCTTGAGAACAAAGACAAAAGCAGACAAGAGAACAGGAAATAAAACGGGCAACCCACGTGGTGACTTTTGCCTTGATGGAGCAGCAGATGTGGAGAGGTGTTTTACTCTTTGGAGAGTTTTAGCAGATGATTTCACGCTTAAGCATAGAGGTTCCTGGAAGCATTTGGACATTTTAGTGAGTAACGTTAACTGTGATTTGGTTAGGTTTCGAAGAATCTTAAAATGCCATTTCAGGCAAAATGAACCACATCCCTTACACTGCGGGTCACATTCTGTCAGTTCTAGGCTATATTTGCTTGCTGAGTAAGAGAATATTTAGAAACACCACTTACTATGTGTAACTGGCTAGTGTAATAGTAATTTAAAAGGCCAACTCATACAAGTAGCATTATACAGACCAAACAGGTTATATTTAGAAATCTGTATGTGTACACATACATGTATGCATGCAATGTGACATTAAAGAAAAGGGAGGCCATGGATCTGAAGGAGAGTAGGAGGAAAGGGAGGAATGTTCTAGTTATAGCCTCAGAACAAAACAAAACAAAACAAACAAACAACAAAAATCCCCAACTCTTTACAGATTCTTTCTTGGCCTATGTTATTAAAAGTGCACAATAATTTAGAAGACCATCCATATTAAATCTAGACAGGCATGGCCTATTGCTAGAGAACATCTCAATGGCTATTGAAAGACCAAAGCCACATAAAAATAGTGACTTGGACTCAGAACACAGGACAGTGTAGGTCATTCAGAAACGGCTATGGCTTAAGATGGATAAGGGTTCAGGTGTTCTGTCTCAGGAGAAAAAAAGGGACCCAGAGATGCCTGGAATGTCAGTGCTCGTCATGTTCAGAGTAAGGTAGGCTCCTGAGCGCTGACTGGGAGTCAGACGGGAAGCAACAGTAAAGCCACTTCGTAGTCATTGAACGAGGACACCCCGTGATCAGGAAGATGTAGGAGTGTCACAGGACACTGTACAGAACACTGTCGTGAGTCCCCCTGAGATGGGCTTTGTCTTCACATGCATGAGTATGAGTATGTGTGTACTGGGTTGCAAAGCGAAATGTTTGCTACCCAGGGCTACTCAAGAAATACTGGAAACCATTGCTTTACATGGTTTCCTTGAATTAGAGGTATAGTGAAGCTGTAGAGCAGTTGTCTGGTGTATGTAAGTCCCTGAGTTCAGACACCAGCACACACACACACACACACACACACACACACACACACACACACACACACCACACTCACACACACACCACACACTCACACACACATGCACTCTCACACACTCACACACACACTCACACACTCACTCACACACACACACTCACACACACACACACACACACACACTTGTTTACTGGATACTTGCTCACAGTTGCCTACCCCTTTCAAAGTCATGACTCACCCTCATATTCTCTTTATGTGTAACTAGCAGGTTCTCTCAGGGATGGCAAGACAGAGCTTTTAACAACTACATGAGTGACACTTCCACAGTGGCCCCCTTGATGACAGTCAATGGGACTATGATGTCTCAGAAGGGCAAAAGAATTCGCTGTGGGTTTCTGTGGGGCCTGAGTTCTGAGTCTGAGTTTCCAGACCTTCAGAAATTCAAAGAAGACCTTACCAGTCAAAGGATATTAGTTTCAAAGTAGTTTGTTACTGAACACCTCCCACCCAAGGGACTAGCACTGCCCAGTGGCCTCAACAGACAATTCCCACGGAAAAGGTCAAAGCAAAACCTTCAAAGCGGTGGCATGATTAGCAACTACAGTAAATGGAGTTTCCCAAGCAAAGGACTTGAGGCAAAACCCTATGAAGATATTTTTAAAAATGTGCATAGAGAAAACTACAGAGGGAATGAACATAGAAACAATTGCATCGAAAACTCTGCTAGCGGCCCAAAGGAGACAAAGACACAGTCAGAAAACAAAAGTTGAGCCAGGAGTTCTACATTCCAAAGTTGCATCACAGAAAAAGAATCAAGCATGCCAGGGCATTTGGGTTCTGGCATGTGCCTATGCTGACCCCTGTGGTTACCAGCCATCCTGGGCATCATTGCAACCTAACAGAGACTGCTCCTAGCAGATACAGGTTCTCTGTAGTTCAGCTCCATGCCAGAGACTTGCTCACTGGTGGCTTCTGCACACAGTGAGAGAGAGTTATTAGTGTGCTGAAAATAATATCCCAAGCCCATTACATTAAGTTTGAATTGTTAGGAGAGCTAGTCATACCTTCCAAGGCGAATATCCGTTCTCCCAGAGCTTTAACAATAGTGACCAAGGCCAGCTCATCTGAGACATTAAAAAAGTGCTTCTCGGTGGGCTTGCTTGCGATCGATTTTATTTCCTCCACAAACTTCTCACTGCTTAAGTTCCCTCGGTTATAGTGGCCGAGGATCTAGGGCATGACAAAAATGGCAAGGACATATTTTAACATCTGCATGCTAAATAAGTATCACAAGCATACAATCAGTAAACAAAAGCAATCAGGATGTCTGATCATGGGATAATGGTATGTGCTTATGGGGGTTTTTATGGAAGGGAAATTCTTTCTGAGCACATAGTTTTCCTAATATATTTTTCAATACGCGCGTGTGTGCGTGCGTGAGCATGTGTCTGTGTGCATGTGTGCATCATGCGTGCATGCGTGAGCGTGTGCGTGCGTGAGCGTGCGTGTGCGTGAGCGTGTGTGTGTGTGTGTGTGTGTGTGTGTGTGTGTGTGCGTTTGTGCGTGCCTGCGCCATGCACCTGAGTGTAGGTTCCCTTGGAGACCAGAGGGATGACATCTTCCTTGAGCTGGGGTTACTGGCAGTTGTGAGCTGTCTAATGTGACTGCCGAGAAGCAGATTTGGGTCCTCCACAATACAAGAAATGAAACAGTGAGCATCTCCACAGCTCTACATAAAGATTCTTAAAACCACAGTTGAGGTAGGAAAGCAAAAGTCTTTCTTCTTCTGCATTTCACGTCTTGGTGTAACAGCGAAAGTTTTAACATCTAACTGTTTAGAAGAAATGCCACCCTCTCTCTATGACCTGGATATGATTGCCCAAGGCCGTCTTCCTGCAGAGCAACCAGCGGGGAAACTATGGGAACGTCTTCTGCATTTGTGCATCTCTCTATATATTATACGTGTGTGCATGTACAGGGTGCACACATGTATTTTTTCCTTAGAGACTTGTGAAAGTTCTCTTGTTCTTGCATGGAGTCCTTCATGTTTGTTTCATTTTTCCACGAGAAGTTTTAAATTTTTATGAAGTCACATTCATCCCATTTCTTCTTTAGGGTATGTACAATGCCGCCTGTTTAGATCTAGCGTGGAAATATCAATGTGTGTGGTAATATGTAAACTCTAAACTAAAAATACCCAATACAAAGATATGACCTAATTTTTTTATTTTAAAATTGCATAGCTATGCAGGTAATAGGAAAAAGATTCAAATAATATATTTTTTATTTTTGTTATAAGATTGTATATGTCTATCTTTGGCTTACCCACATATATTTAAAGACCTTTTTTCTTTTAGAATATAAAAATTCTTGCAATAAAACATGTTTAATTTTTATATCATTACAAGTGACACTTGAAGGTTACTAGTTCTTACTTTTAAATATTCATGTCTCCTTGTTATACTATGCCAAATTGAGGACAACTTAAATGCCTGTACGTAATGATGTATAAATTATGGTATACTCACAAAATGGATAACATAATAAATATGAGGAGCACTGATATACAAAATAAGATTGGTAATCTTGCACAAAGAACAAAACAATAGAATCCACAATGTGCGGCCATTTAGAGGGGATCCAGAATCAGTAACCTAAAGGAGTTATGGGAATGGTTGCAAGAGGAAGAATTAGAAGAAACGAAAACGCAGAGAACTTTCTGGAGGTGACAGGAGTATGCGTGTTTGCTATGAACACTTGGTAATCACTCTTTATATTGGCATGATTGAACTGAAAGAAAGTGTTAGCCCAGCTTTAAAAAGGACTGAACTACATGAACACACAACATAAACACGCATGTTTTAAAAGTTCTAACTACTGTATACAACGTGGAAGCCTTTATACTACATGGAGTTTAAAAAAAAAAAAAAAAAAACCAGTAAACCATTATTAAGTTTAACTTTTCAGATAAATTTACATTATTGCCAAAAGACTAAGATCAAGAGATTATGAGTAGGGATTTGGGCCCACAGTTATCCAATATAAACATGTGGTTTTTAAAACGAGGTTTACGATGGTAGGCTACAAAATGATATTTTTATCAAGATATATGAATACACTTACGAAAACTAAAAGAGCGTGTTAGTATTCCCACGGTTCTTCTTATGACCTGAGGTGGGCTTACTGGTCACATGATGGATAGTGGTAGAGAGCAATGACTGAATTGAATCGTCCTGGTGCACACTGACTGTTAATGTGAGAACATGAGTCACGTCTGCTCCACTCAGCAGCCTCATGGAGGCTCTGTGGGATGTGCTTGTCCCTTTCCCTGGGGAACTCCAGTGTCCAGCGCAGAGGAAATCACACATTTCCACACTGCAGGACAGCAAGCCTGCTCTTCACTCCTAAGACGCCAGCAATCTGGTCCATCCTGGCTCATTCACTCACTAAATGTGCTTACAAAGACTATCGGGAGGCATGTGTCTATGGAAACTTGGAGCAGGTGACAAGGTGGCCCACACGCCGCGTAGGTTCTGTTTGGTTTTGGTCTTTGAACTCACTCTCCCTCCTGTGTTACCTAGACTTAGGCAGAATGGTCTAAATAGGAGCTTCACAAATTATTCCTGGAAGCAAACCCAAATTCCTGGCTACTGTCATGAAGCCAGGGAGGGCCAAGCACTGTAAGTCATTAGCCTGAACATAGGCTACTGGTGCTGTCTTGCACATTGGCGGTCGGTGTGATGGAGGGAAAGAGTTAGTGGTGAAGGTAGCAGAGGGATTTTAGATAAGCAAGCAAAATTGAAAGGCCGAGCTCTCACAGTGTTGGACAAATCCCCATGTCCTTTAAGAAAGAGCTGTCAACATGCCTTTCTTATAGTTGGATGTCCCATTGAATCTGGTTGTAGGAGACAGTCTACAAATCCTCAAGGAGCCATACCCATGTGTTTGCTGCCGGACATGGTGACATCCCCCCTTTCCCCCTTTTTGTCAGTTTGGTAACCTACAAGTTTCTTTTAGATCCATTCAAATTCTGAATTTATGTGGATCCCTCTGAGTTCCCCACTGAGCTACTTAACTTATTCTTTAGATCTTGTGACATCCTGAAATGATAAATATCATTGCTCCTCTGGTTCTCACCAAGCCTGTTCTAGATTAACTATTGGATCAACATATTAACTGCCATTTCTTGATGAATTTAAAAATATACATAAAACAAATTTAATAGCTGGGTTTCAGGGTACGTGTGGTTGAAGTTGTTGATTGTGAAGTGAATATTGTCAGGCGTTTAGTGACAAAAGTGATATAAGGAGATAAATAGATTTAACTAAGTAGGAAAAGTACCCACGTGACACAGTTACAGAGTAAGAATAGAGTGAATAAGTTCAATGTTGAAGAATGTACTCAGAGATGCAGGAGTTTCTGTGAGTCCTATATAGGCTCGAACCATCTTATATCGCAGATGAAAACAATAACAGGAACCTATTGGGATCTTTCATTCAAGGGTTTGGTAGCTTGTTAAAAATGTTTTCTTTGAAAAGAAACAAAAGTTTAAATAATACACATAATTTTAAAAATACATCTCAAATCTGTTGGACCTACGCATTTGAATGATGCTAATATTTGCCTGGAAGATGCAGTCAGAGCTAAAACCTCCTTGAGGCAGACATGTCAAAGTAAAGCATTTAATTCATTTATGTGAAGTATCATGTCTTTTATTTGAAAATATAAATGAAATGCCACAGGCCTTACTGATGTCTCTCTCATTTACATGTGAGTGCAATAACTAATGCACACCTCTCAGCCATTACAACCTAAGAGGAGAATCGAATATCTAATATGGGCTGATGGGCCAGTCTAACATTCCCCATTGACAGGGATAGAGGACCAAAAGCCAATTCATGCCCTCTGAAAACATTACATTTTAACGGCAAATGCTTGAAATTTTAAACAGGGGGCTTACAGTGTCAATATTTAATCCTCTTGCGGAGCTGTTTCCTGTCAAAGCACATTTCTGTGTTGTTCAGGATCAGACAGTGGGGACAAGATGGGGTAGGAGGGATAGTGCAGACAGAAACTGGGATAGAAGAACATTCCAGGTAGTAAGTGAGAGCCTACATTTGTGTGAGTATGTGCAGCATGAATAGACCCTGTGAAAGTCCTGAAGTCTTCCCGTGTTACTGCACAAATGAGAAGAAACAGTAACACAAGTGTCTTGCTTTCCAGCTTGCTCTCAAATAATAACTTGTGGTATAGTAGGGTCAAGAGACACCAAGTAGGAAAAGTTACAATGATTGTTCAGTGACATTTTCCTATTTCTTATTTATGTAGATTTCAATAGCAGTTTGGTAATAACATACCGATTAAAATGGGAAGCATTGGTTAAAATGACAATAGCATACTGATTAAAGTGGAAAGCACGTGCCTATATGGTTCTCCATGAAGGCCAGTGGGAATCTGAAATGTCCTTTTGACTAGATGAGAGACAATGTGTGCGTGATGATGGAAAGATTCCAAATAGGCAAAGCAGCTTAGGGCAAGGAAAAACTGACGATGACATCAGACACGATACAAAACACAGGACTCACTCACAAAGTTGTGCTCTGCCTTTGTCTTTACAAGGAGGCTTCCCTTGTGCTGGTTTTGTGTGGTGTGTGAGTGCTGAGTATGAAATGCTCCCACAAAGCAGGTGGGCGTCTGAACTACATCCTCAGCACCAACACTGTTAATTCTGATGATGCCTAACACTCTCTGTGGTTTGCATCCACTTAGGTTGCCAACTAGTCCTCGGGGGGGGGGGGAGGGCAGAAAAAAAGAGATCATCCTGCTACTTAGGTGTTTGAAACCAGTGAGTAAGCTTTGCCTTTACACACAGAAGAGACCGGGCATAGACTTAATGCCACTTGTTATTCACACATGTTTTGAGTGAAGGCAGGATCGCATGAAACTGTCCTAACTATGAATTCAAAACAGCTACGTTTTCACAGCAATAAAGAATTTGATAATAATTGGCAAACAAATATTTATAAACGTAGCACTAGGGAGAATGAGAGGCTAGATGTCTGGTGAATTTTTTTTTTTATATCTTATACCCCAAATAAAATGGGGAAATGTTTCATTCAGATAAAATCACTTTGTAACCAAATCATCTTGTTTCTAAAATGAGTGCATTGACCCTGTGAAGCTGGGAATCGTGGTCCTGGAGCTCCTTTCTGCGTATAAAGGCCACCCCGCATACACTTCTTACACTACTGATGCTTTTGAAAAGAAGATAAATTCATTGATTGGATATTGAAAATGAATGCAGCTAATATTTAATTGTTGTTTGTAAAGGGTCCAGGCTGAGTTCTTAAGAGTTTGGAATCTTTCCTCCTGGCTTAAAAAAAAAATCAGTTAATTAAATCAATTTTAGTGACCGAAAGAACAATTGATCACAGATGAGAGAGAAGCCCCCCCCCCAGACTGAAGGCACACTCTGGGCTAAGCTGTGGAATCTGAAAGGAAGGGCCAGATGTAGTCCCTGGGGGATTTTCTGAAGGCTTCTGAGCAAGGAGGAAATGGTTGTGAATTCCTTGAAAGGATCAGACAGGAAGAGGATGCTTCTTGTGTGTCTCACTGGCTACTGTTATTACCAGTTCTTCATGTGGTGAGAGAGACAGATAGACTGACAGACATAATCCTTGGACAGAGGAAGACACTGAAGCTCAGAGTAGTAAGAACTTATCCACTTGTCCCAGAGACAATGCAGCAAGAAAGTCTGTACAAAGGTATTTCAGCCCCTGAAACACAGTGTCCTCCATCCCCCCCCCCACACCCAGACTTCCATTCCGTTCTATTCTTAACACCTGGGAAATGCAGCAACCTGGGCAGCATAAAGCAGACAAACCGGGCTACAGGAATATCAGGATGATAATCAAATGCATCTTCTGATTCTGGCTTCTCAAATTTCAGGAAGAATCATTAACTAAGAAGCCAACCTTTATTGGCTGGTAAGTGTTGTCTGTCTCATGATAGCCACTGACAGTTTGCAAACCCTTTGCTAGCATGGTACTTACAGCTATGGAAAACCGCTGAATGTTTTCGTCCTCGCAGTCTTGGATGACCTGTTTCAGTCGATAGTTGTCATGTGATTCTCCATCAGTCACTATGACCATGACTTTTTTAACTCCCCTCCTGGCACCCCGGGCTTCAGTGAATGCTTCCTTCCTGAAGGAGACACAGACCAAAGGGAGGCTGATCAAACTCAGGCCAGAGGTGTACAAAACGTAAAGTCCTTCAAAAATACAGTGACTCTTCTTCATAGCCTGTTGCTTTCCTCCAATTTGACTAAGGACTCCACTGTCAGAGGCAAGAGGCACCATGATTTGATCTGCAATAGCTCCATAGGTATTGAACATGACTGCCCATTGGAAACACAGGTGCATTTCCTCCTTTGGAAGCTTTGAAGGAATGTTGTGACCGATGAACAGTGGAAAGGAATATTCATGTCTGCTGTCAGAAGTGAAGCCTGGACTATGGAGACCACAGAAAGAGGAATTCTCCTGTTATTCACTTACCTCCAGTAAGAACCACAATAATATAATCCCCCAACTTACACGATTTCTCATAACGTTTCCATGAAATGACGCCGCCACTCTGCCCCATATTAAATCTCTACTTGTCCTTGTGTTGAAAGCTGAGCCAATGCCAGTAAACTGCAACTACCCATCGCAATGGTTCCCACCTTGAAGAACTGTGTGAATCACTTCTCTTTAGTGTGAACCCGGAACACAGATTTTGTGTTTTCTTTAAACACTTAAACAAAGGTGAAGACGTATGCCAAACACGAAGTTTTGAAAGAAGCTTAGACATGAATAAGTTATGAGATTTAGTCCATTTTGCAATTCTGATTCCTTAGCGGATCACCCAGAGCTTCTAATTTTCTGAGAGATCAAGGTCGTGGCTGAACTTAATGAATATCAGCAGAAGGGGATGATTAGCAGTCCCTTCTTAGAGACATTCTGGTTGCTCTGAAACAGAGCCAACTTTACGTAACAGAAGAGCAGCCAGCCACAGAGCTGTCGACCCTTACCCTTCTCAAGTGCATCCCTTGAGGAGTCGGCACGTCTGAAACACTGACATCTAATGCCTTCCCTTAGAATGAGCAGCGGCATCCTCTCCATTGGCGTTTATCATTTTAAATATGCCAGGAAAGACACTTATTTTGGGTTAGGAGAATTCAGGATTTATGAGTGATAATTTATGCCTAGTTACAGGAATGAAAAATAAGGGGACATCCAAAACTATTATGAACAGAAGTGAATGAACTAACTGAAAATGAAGATAAAAGATTCCAAAACATCCAATATATATATTAAAAGGAATAAAACACAATCAAAACTGTGCTTTACATGTGGAAAATTGATGTATGAGAAAAACAGTGCCAGTATCAGTTTGGACTCTGTGTAACCCAAACTTGCCAGATTCTGTCTACAGATAGACTATCATAGAGGAGTGGGCAAAGCCCATATAAGGCCATGGTATTTCAAGTAGCATTTGTACAGGAGTGAAAGCAGCTACAACGATTTTTCCATTAGTTACAAATATTCATTCTTAAACTTCTGCCTTCGGAAAAAATGCACAGCTCTTTACAGGCTCAGAGCTTTGAGAGCAAGCTCTGACTTCCTTTGAATGTCACATTCAGTCAGCTGTTGATGGCACTTTCAGAATGCCTACACGTATGTACCCCTTGTATATGCAAGCATGCAATCCTATAAGCGGATAAATGCACAATTACCACAGCTGCTGTGTGTGTGTGTGTGTGTGTGTGTGTGTGTGTGTGTGTGTGTGTGCGCGTGTGTTCCTGTAAAACGTGTGCTTTCGAAGCAGTTTAGGGCATCCAGTGTCACAGGAAGGAGAGTGTGACCGTAGTAAATTACCTTTGCAAAATCAGCTAAGAGTCCACAGGCTGAGACTACTTGACACAAGTATTCTTAATATGAACCTAAACTCTTACAAACTTCCTGTGAATTACGTTTGGCTTAGGAGTTTGCCAGGTTTGATGATAATGACAGAGGGAAGAACAAGAACTGGATGAGACTGGAGAAGACACAGGGAATACAGCTTTCTGCATTTGTAAGCTTCTTCTAAAACAAAATTTAAGCAGAGAGCGATGAGATGGAGGCAGAGAAGGTTTAGTAAAAGAAGAAACAGCATGAGGCTCCACAGAGAAACAGACATTTCATTTTTTAAAAAAAATTATTGTGATGAGGTTACTTTTGATAAGGCAACATTTAATTGTGGTTTCCTAAAAATTCTTCCGTGAGGACTGGGGAAATAGCCCAGTCACTAAAGGTCTGACCTTATAAGCACGATGACCAAGTTCAGTCTTCGACCTGTTAGAAAGCGAGGCTGTGTAGCGGCATGCACTTGTAATCCCAATGCTAAAGAGTAGAGGACAGGCTCCAGCGGCTCCCTGGACAGTCACCAGAGAAGAGACCGCGTAGAAAGTGTTCAATAGCCTGTTAAGTGTGACGCCCGAGATTGATCTCTGACCCCGAGAACAGGTCTAAAAACACACACACGTGCAGACATGCACCTGTGTAACAAATAGACGTTATGGTCTATTTTCAAAATGAGGTACTGTCACATTGTTATTGAGGCGTGGTCCTAAGAGTTGCAGGCCTGTCTCTCTCCCATTGGCATCTTCTCGTCTCACAACCCTGAGTGTTAGAGGTTAAATTACGGGTCATCTGATACATGACTGACCTCAGGATCAGAAGAGTGGGGTGGGGTAGCCTTAAACCCCAAATGGTTTATTATGAAAAGCTTCGTGTACTAGCCTTGTATAGATGTGGATTTTAGGAGGGGAGCAGTTCCCGTCTACGGGGAAAGAGAAGAGGAATTTGGATGGGGGTTGTAGAAGGTTTTAAGAATGAATAACTTGTTCCAGACCAGCATGCTGGCCGTGTTTGTCCTGCGTGTGTGCCAGAATTACTTCCTGCAGAATATTGCAATAAAGACTGCTTCATTTTCATTAGCCTCTTGAATTTGTGACTACCTTACTTCCAACATGAGTACACATATACATGCCCATACACAGCTTATACAGAAATCCTATATCAAAAGCTAGAGATACAAGAATATGGTAGAATATATGCTGAGTAGACAGACTAAAGTTTAATACATTCATCGATATGCCCTAGAAGTTAAAAATAAAAATCAAATGGATACAAAGAATGTTGTCAGGCCTTGCTGGCTGGTCAGAGGTCATAGTCTATCATGTCCTGGCAGCCTTTTCCACAGTTCGATGACATGGGACTCTGTCTCCACCAGTGAAACTTCCTGCTCTCTACCTGCCCTTATCTGGAGAATGTCCCTGGGCCTGGAGAACTGATATCTGAAAGCTGTCTCTAAGCCAGATGCCTGATTTATCTCTAGAGTGACCCTTGGCAGAGATTCCTTCTAGAAGCCTCCTCTGCTGCATATATGGTAAATAAGACTTGTACTAGGAACTTTGCTATAGGACCCTGCTCCAACATACGATAGGAATGTGTCATTTAATGCAAATTATGGTTTGTCCCAGGCTCCTCAATCCTATATATTCCCTATACTGTGGAATAAAGCTGAGCAGATTCACCAAAGTCTCTCCCAAAGGGCCGTCTCTGTCATGTTTGCATGCCATTCATGGATGTCTGTCATTGCTTCTGGCCCTTTGTCCTTGTAGATTGATGGCCACCTGACCACAAGGATAAAGGGGAACCCTCACACAAAAATTAGTATTAAGCATCAGTTCCCAACAACATAATTCGATTCACTATTGTTGTGTTTTTAATTGATTCACCATCAGTTAGACTCTTGAAATGGAAGAGAAAGATAAGCAGGGCTGAGAGAATATATTACCATCTCATAGCAAATCTTTTTAATGTAATTTGAAAAAAAAAAAACGTGGCATTGAATATTGTCAAGGTAAACAATGAGTCAAATTCCAAAGGCAAAAATAGCTAGCTGTTGTACTGCATGGTCTTTTGCCTTTTCTTAGTTTTACTTTTTCTTTTATTTTTGAGATCACAATGTCATCATTTATTCCTTTTCCTCCCTCCAAATTCTCCCATATAACCCTCTTTGCTCCCTTTCAAATTCATGACCTCTGTTTTCATTAACTGATACATGCACATAACACATTGTCATGCATCTATGTGGTATATATGTATTCCTAAATATAAGCTGCTCAGTATGTATGATGTTACTTGCATGCATGTTTCAGGGCTGACCAATGGATACATCTACAAGACAACGCTGTACCTAAGGCTCAGGGAATGTTGCAGAAAAGGGGAAAGAAAGACAAGCCAAAGGATCAGGAACTTTCCTGTGGGATTTTCTCTCCCAGGAATCTCAGAAGCTACCCCATAAAGTCTCACCAACATGATTTTTAATCCATACCTGGCTGTGTCTATTCCAAGGGCTGTCATCGTCTGTAGACCACCTCTCCGGCCGATTTTCTTGGCTGCAACAAGTACCTCTTCTGTTGATGAATACTTATTGAGGTTGAACTCATGGGTTACATTTTCTCCATACTGTACAATTCCAACCTGAAATACCAAGCCACAACTGAGTCATGCATTTAGCAAAATTCCCTGCCCATTTTTCTTGAGTTTAAACATATAGGGCTAGTAGGATACATTTTAGATTCTTTTGAATGAGTGTCAGAATTGGTCACTACATGAAGCCATCTACCATGCTAGCAATAATTATGGCCCTATAATATTGCAAATATGAATGGTCCAAAGGGAAAAAAAAAACAATAAAACTGCCATTACTTTCTGTCTAATCAAATTTTTTTTCGGAATGACTCCAGTAGGATCCCAGAGCATACTTGGTTATATTTCAACATTTTTTGTTTTATTTTTTTTTATGACTGATTCATATTATAGCAACAAATTGTCCCATTTAATAAATGAGAAAACAGAGTCTTACAAACTAATTTCCTGGATGGGGATACAAGTCAGTGGTAAAAGGACTTGTTTCCCATGCGTGAAGCCCTGGGTTCAATCATCAGCAGAGAAAGGAAAACAAACAAAAATCAGACTCATGCTCTACTGTGAGGAGGTAGAAAAAAAGTCAAAACTTTGCCCATCCTAGCCTTCCCCGTCTTTAGTTTATCGCTAATTTCTAGTAATCAGTAGGAGACACCGAGTTACACTAGAGTAAATAGGCAAACAAGTTAACCGATAATATTTGAAAAAGAAATAGAGGACATTAATTCTCCCTTACAGCTGTTGAGTCTGTCACAGGTTAAGTAAAGGAACTGGAGAATGTATGTAATTGCTAGATGAGGCATTATAAGCTCAATGCACATGAACTCTTCCTATTTTATGTCTAGGATAAACTTGTTCCTCCACAAATGCACTTCTCACTCAATTTCTTTACTATACACCCCAAAACTTCGGGTTATTCAATTGGGATTTTATTTCCTATGGCAATTAAGGGTAGGATGTAGCCAACTAGTTACACAAGCTATCGAAAATGAATGAAGACAACCCATGACTCCAATTCAGGTTATTTCCTTGAATTATATTTAAATGATCTTACTACCCTTTTTAGATTTAAAATTATAGTTTCTAGTGAAAATACAGATTTAGATTATCAATCCTGAGAGATAGTGACCTCGGAAGGAGAAACCCATAAATATTTTGATTTTTGCCACCATAAACATGCACTATAAATTTAAATGAAATGCTTTCGTTACTAAGATATTCATTATACCTAATCCTAACTACCAAGCTTCAAAAAGGCTTCTATGGAAGTCAATTGTTCATGAATTTAAGACATCTCACTGAGATTTTTTTATTTTAATATTTTTAGTTAATTAAACAGGAATCTAAAAAATAAAATGAAATTTTCTCTCTCCTCCCTGTCATTATTTTAACAGTACTGAACATCCTCTTCTCTCATGCCTTTGACCTCCTGAGCTTTGAGAATCTTCCCTCTGGCTCATGACATCTCTCCTCAAGGGCTTCCTCTCTTTCATTCTATCATCTACAAGAGCAACAGTCTCAATTCTAAACTTCCCTAGCTGTGAGTGTCAGCTCATTTTTGTATTCTGTCTAAGCTATCGACAATCAGGACCTAAAATTCAAGACTAGATTCCATGGCATGATTACAGTAACCATTTAGTTGTAAACATCTAGCTCATTCAACCCTTTCCCCTTTACCAAGTCACCTTCCAGCTAACTTCCAGCTAACTCCGTGTGACTCTGCCATGCTGAATGCTGACAAAAGTCACTCTGGGTGTTGGTCTCCCCGATAAAGTCGTATCTATGAAACTCAAATGGGGCCTCGAATTTGAGCATCATCCAGCAGTCATAGAGCTTACTACTTACGGATGTGTGTACTTTGTTCCCACTTGTTGATTTCAATCAGATTTTCTGTTAAGAGCTGTTAAGGCTCACAGGAGAAAGTATTTATCTCTAGTGTTCTTAGAAGAAACTCACATGAAAGGGACAGAAGTCACACCAACCATCCAAGGCTGCCGGATGCCGGGTGAATGTTAGTGTTTTATTTTCACACCACACCTTACGTGCCTCAAACATTCTGCTCCAAATGCTGCCTTGTCTAAACGAGTTAACTTCACCCTAAAACCTCAAAATCTTGGTGTGGTGATTTGAATGAAAATGTCTCCTATAGGCTAAGATGTTTGAATATTTAGTCCCCAATTGGAGACACCGTTTGGGAAGATTGGGAATTGTCTTGCTGGGGGATATGGCACTGGGTTGACTTGGTGAGTTGAAAAGTCACACCATTTCTAGTTCATTCTCTAAGCTTCAAACCTGTGGTTCAGCTTCCTCTCCATTTACCATGCCTGCTTCTTGCTCTCATGCTTGGGCTTACTCCCTGGAGTCTTAGGCCAAGTAAACACTTCCTTCTGCAAGATGCCTTGGTTGTGGTGTTTTACCACAACAATGGAAAAGTAATACACTTGGTAAGTCAGAGACAAGTGCTTCCCATTGTATCATCTGTCTGTCTGTCTGTCTCTCTGTCTGTCTATCATCTATCTATCCATCATCAATCAATCTATATTCTATCCAACTGTAATCTCTCTATCTATTATCTATGTATCTACCTATCATCTGTCTATCAATAATCTGTCTATCATTTATCTGCTATCCAACTATCATCTATGTATCTATCATATATATGTATATAGATCATTTGTCATCTATCTAATCTGTCTACCATTTGTCTACCTATCAATCAATCCATCTATCAATCCATCCATCCATCTATTTATCTATCTACCTACCTACCTGTCTACTATCTATCTATCATCTATCATCCATTAGTCTTTCCATCTATCATCTATCTATCCATCTGTCTACAATCATCATCTGCCTATCTAGCATCAGAATCTATCATCTATCTCTTAATACATGTCTCACTTCGGCAAGCTTATTCTTTGTAATTTTTAAAATACAAGTGAGTTTACAGTGGTCTTTACCTTTCCTGTGCGCCTAACTTCTAACTGCCCTCCGAGAAGCCATTTTCAACTGAATGCCTTTGGGAGCCTAATCTGTTTTTCTTTGAACTTTTAAAGATCAGGAACTTCCAGGAACTTTTCTTTCTCTAAATCCATCATCCTCTCTTAGGTAGGGCCAGAATTCAGAGAACAGCAGCCTGGTACCTGGACTCAAGCTGTGTGTCCTTTGTCCCTTTCAGGTGGGGCTGAGGTCTGGACTCCACCTGAATCCACACCTGTACTTATCCACCATCACGACTGTTTTGCTTCCCTGGATCCTTTCTTATTTGTTTACAGGAAGTGCTTCCTTAATAACCCGTACCATGTGAATCCTCCCCCCCACCATCTGCTCCCGGGAACTGGGCCTCAGGCACCCTCTCTTCCTCCTTAAGGCCAGACCAGACACCACAGCTTTGAACCTCAACCCCAGCAGGGGTTGCTGTCACCATGGCCAGTCTCAAGTTCTGCTATGTAACACTGGGATGTTTACTGAGACAGTGCAGCCATCACATGTATTAATTCCCCACTCAAAACCTGCAATTGTATCTGCTGACATCACTGACTCTGAAAAAATTTTACTCTCACTTTAAAAGGAGAAGAAAAAAAATGTAATATTATTCATTGGAATGCCAGGTTCCGGGGGGGGGGAGTTAAAGTCAGTCAGTGGTGGCACACGCCTTTATCCCAGCACTCAGGTGGCAGAGGCAGGCGGATCTCTATGGGTTCAAGGACAACCTGATCTACAGAGTGAGCTACAGGACAGCTACGGTTAAACAGAGAAACACTGTCCGGAAAACCATTCAATAAATAAATAAAAATTAAAATCAGAGAGGGCACCACGTATACACCTCTATTCTCCCAGAACTGTCCCCCCACTCATTCTCGAAGATTCAACTCTACCTTCCTTAGCTGTCAGCCCAGCCTATCACACTGGCTTCGCCCTTCCCCTTCTGAGAGCTCAGGGGTCAGCATGTCTGCCCCGCGTTCTTCTCAATCGTGCCGTGTGCAAAGGGCATTGAAGTTCCCGGGGGCTGGCAGGGTAAAGATGTCACTATGTCACAGCTTCTCATGTCCCTTTATCCCTCCCTGCCACTGTGTTTTTGCTCACGGTTGACACTCAAACATTCCTAGTAGATGACGGTAACCGTGCCGAGAAACAAGTGGAAAGCTGAGACACAAAGAAATACTGATAGCCAGTCAAAAAGTGGCACATACAGTGTAGGGAATGAGAAGGAAGGGGAGGTAACCTTCAGGGTCGGGTGATGGCCAAGGTTACATGCATATTCCCTTAGAAACCAGACAGAATAAAGCCTGCTGTGGGTCTCCATGCGGAAAGGGGGCATTCATTAGTTTCATCCTAAGAGTCAAATACATACACGTAATATTATGCTGAGTGCTGGTAAGGACCTATTCAGTATAGACCAAGATTAGCCTCTAATTTACGACAGATGAAACAAATCCAGATGCGCATAATGTATATGGATATGCACATGATGCAAGTTGATATGAAAATTGAAGATAAAATGAGCCAAGCAATGAAGACAGGTCCTGGAGGTCAAGTGGATAAAGAAGGGTTCATATTCACCACTTCGCAATGAAAACCTTGGGTGATGGCACGCGCCGGTAAAGAGTTTAAGTCATGGGGAGTAAAGCAAGGACGATGGCTGAAAGAAGCAAGTGAGTTCAATGTGGACATTCTTTAATGGAGAAAGGCAAGGGAACGCTGTATTCAGGGAGAGCAGATGAATATAGAAACAGTGGCCCCTGGTTCTATAGAGGGATGATAAAAGTCACAGGGACAGTCTTACTCAGAGACAGTTGGGAGGGTCGTGGTTGACCTCAGGGAGACATGTTTGACCCTCTTGATTAATAGAGGGGGAAGTTTTCTCCTAATTCTTGCCTCAGTTGTGGTCCTCAAATTCTCAAGCAGAGTGTTTTGAGTCTGTTCTCTTTGTGTTTGGTGTGGAAATGTTCCAATCACAGAGTGAAGAAAGACACGATGCATTTTAATTTTACTTAATGGAATAATTACTTGAAGTACATACCCAATACACTCTAAAACATAGTTTGGAAAAC